ATATAAACCCATGTTTTGGCTCGAGAGATAAATATTTTGTTGGAAATTGATACGCTAAACCAAATTAAAGTTGCAAATGGTTGATCCATGTCCTCCTTAGACTCAATGAAACTACACCTGAAAATGGAATGAATCAAAGTGGAGCACTATGGTTTAATTTGTTTAATTTGCTAGCAAAATCAAGCTAAGTTGCAACGCTGCAGGTTCCCCAGTGAGTTTCTTCTACGCCCCTTACTAAGAAGTTTAGACTATGACCTGCCCAAGTTTACAATATTGTACCATGCATGATGCATGTGATTATGGTTTTGGACTTGAGTGATAAGTGTTTAGAAAAGTGTGGGTATTATTATAACTATGAAAATTAATAATATATCTATTATTATTATAACAATGGGATTAAGCCCAAAAACCATAACGGCGGTTAAAACCCAATTAATGATGGAATCAACGTCAGATCTTTCAATTTCTCTTTTGTTAGTCTCCTTTTTTCCTATCGGCTAATTAAAAAGAAAGCCCTTTCTCATAATCTTCAATTTCAATCACAATTCTTAAATTTCTCCTCCTTTCTTTTTCCCTAAAAAAATCAGATTTAATTAGGGTTTTAGTGCAGTTAAGAATGTTTCCATCGATGGAGTTTATGAAACCCTTAGGCAAAGGTTCGTATGGTTCCGTCGATCTCGTCAGATTCACGAAACCAGACGGCTCGAATCCGTACTACCAAGCCGTGAAAACCTCCTACCCACAAGACTTCGAACCTCTCCTCAAAGAGTTTAAGATTCTGTATAAACTCAGAGAATGCCCTAGGATCGTGCAGACTTGCGGGACAAGTTTGTCGAGAGGTGTCAATGATTACGGAGTCAGAGTGTATAGAATGTCAATGGAGTATGCAGCTGGTGGAATGATAGACTTAGTAACCTTAGTAACAAGAATAGAAAGAGGGAGAAAAGTATTGCACCGTTGTGACGGCGGAGAAGAGATAAGATAGAAGAGAAATGATATGTTATTGATGATTCAAAACCATAGCTTAACCCTAAAATGGGAAGCTTCCCTAAATACATAATGTAATTGTAAAACGACAACACTTTGTCAATAGACTTATTAAGAGTAGTGAAGCCTCTGACTCTCCCAGCAGGTCCTTCACACTTAGCCACTTTCAATAACCTTCTTCCTCAAATACTTCTCCCTAGCTCTTTCCTTTCTTCCATTAGTTCTCATCTTCCTTCTCATCAAAGCCAATGGTACTCTGAGCCTATCAATACTCCCCCGTAAAAGATTGACCTTGTCCTCAAGGTCACATGTAGGAAATTGCTGAATCAGAGTAGAGAGAGATTCCCATGTAGATTCAGATGCAGGCAGCCCTGTCCACTTCACCAAAACTTCTGTCTCATTTCCTGTTTCAGCTCTTCTTATGTCAACAAGTGATTCTGGTTCTGTTGCCCATTCCAGTGCTGGTGTCAGAATCTTAGGCAGCTCTTGAGGAGTGAAAGTTGGTGGAATAGCTGCCTTGAGTTGAGACACGTGAAAAACTGGGTGGATCAAACTTGTTGACGGCAACTGCAACTTGTAAGCTACCCTTCCTATCTTCTCCAAAATCTGATAAGGCCCAAAGTATCTTTGTGACAGCTTCTCAACCCTCCTATAAACCACTGAACTTTGACGATATGGCCTTAATTTCAAGTATACCCAATCTCCAACCTGATGTTCAACATCCCGGCGATGTTTATTGGCAGACTTCTGCATTCTGTTCTGCGCTACTTCCAGATTCTCCCGCAGCTCAACCAAGATACTGTCCCTATCACGCAATAACTCATCAACGTTTGCATTAGGGGTAGGAATATCACCATACCTGAGCAAACGCGGCGGATCTCTACCGTAGACAGCCATGAAAGGGGTGGTTTTAGTTGATGAATGGTATGAGGTGTTGTACCAGTATTCAGCCCAGGGAAGCCATTGGATCCAACATGTAGGTCGCCTACTAGTGAAACATCTTAAGTAGGTCTCAAGGCACCTGTTCACCACCTCTGTTTGCCCGTCAGATTGAGGGTGGTAAGCAGTGCTTTTGCATAAGTTTGTTCCCTGCATCTTGAAAAGCTGCGACCAGAAGCTGCTCAAGAAGATTCGGTCTCTGTCTGAAACTATTGTCTCTGGAAACCCATGCAATTTCACAACCTCTCTGATGAAGGCTTCAGCCACTGTCTTTGCTGTAAAAGGATGCTTTAGGGGCAGAAAATGAGCATACTTACTTAGGCGATCCACTACTACCAGAATCGAGTTATAACCCTTAGAGGCTGGTAATCCTTCAACAAAATCTAGGCTGATATCTGTCCATATCTGTTCCGGAATGGGCAGTGGTGAAAGCAGTCCAGCAGGTGACAACGTTGCATACTTATTCTCCTGGCAAACTTGACAACCCTTGATGAACTGAATCACATCTTTTCTCATTCCTCTCCAGAACACCTCTTGAGTCAGTCTCTTAAACGTCTTTAAAGCACCCTCATGCCCCCCAGTTGGACTGCAATGAAACTGTTCCAACAATTTAGGAATGAATGTTGAACCTGAGGGAATAACAAGCCGGTTGTTCTTGTACAGCATTCCCTGCCACACTTTGTACTCACTATCTTTGAGGGTTCCTGATTCCACTTCCTTGTAAATAACTCCCCATTCTTTGTCCTCTCTGATTTCTTTCAGCAAAGCTTCTTTGTCTAGGCTGGGAGGAGCAGTGTAAGTGAGCTGCAGCAATTCTTCTTCATGAGGTCTCCTAAAGAGAGCATCAGCTACTCTATTTTCCACACCAGGCTTGTATTCAATCCTGTAAGTCAAGCCAATAAGTTTAGATGCCCACCTTTGTTGGATTGTAGAGATAGCTTTTTGATCTAGCAAGTGCTTGAGGCTGCTCTGGTCTGTCTTGATAACAAACTCCTTCCCTGCTAGATAGTGTTTCCATTTGGTGACTGCCTTCACAATTGCTAACAACTCTCTTTCATAAACAGATTTTATTCTTCCTTGGGATGAAAAGGCTTGGCTGATAAAGGCAATTGGCCTCTTATTCTGAGAGAGAACCGCCCCTATACCTGCTCCAGAAGCATCTGTCTCCACTGTAAACTCTTGTGTGAAGTCTGGTAGGACAAGAACTGGCAGGCTGGTTACTGCTTGTTTAAGATTCTGAAAAGCTTCAGTGGCTGCCAATGACCATTCAAATCCGTTCTTCTTCAGCAAGTTGGTGAGTGGTCTCGCTATCTGCCCATAGTTCCTCACAAACCTTCTATAATAACCAGTTAGGCCCAAGAATCCCCGGAGTTCAGTCACGCTCTTTGGCACTGGCCATTCTGTCATGGCTGTTATCTTTTCAGGGTCTGCTGCTACACCTTTTTTAGAGATCCGGTGACCCAAATAGGATACCTCTGTTTCACCAAAAGAGCACTTCTTTGCATTAACATAGAATTGGTGCTGCTGCATCATATTAAGCACTATCCCCAGATGCTCAACATGCGTGGACTCGTCTGGGCTGTAGACCAATATATCATCGAAAAATACTAATACAAACCTCCGCAAGAAGGGTCTGAATAGATCATTCATTACGCACTGAAAAGTAGAGGGTGCGTTTGTGAGCCCAAACGGCATTACCAGGAACTCGTAGTGCCCTTGATGCGTTTTAAAAGCTGTTTTCTCCACATCTGAGTCTTTCATGCGAATTTGGTGATACCCGGACCGGAGGTCAAGCTTAGAAAAGATGGTTGCCCCATGTAGTTCATCAAGCAGCTCCTCTATCACTGGAATAGGATATCTATCGGGAATTGTAGCCTTGTTTAATGCTCTGTAATCCACACAGAATCTCCAACCTCCATCCTTCTTTTTAACCAGCAAAACAGGACTGGAATAGGGACTGATGCTTGGCCTTATGACTTGTGCTTCCAACATCTCTTGCACTAACTTCTCAATTTCATTCTTTTGGATGTAGGAGTACCTGTAGGGTCTGAGATTAACCGGTCCTGAACCTTCTTGTAAGGTAATGGCATGCTCACGGTTCCTTACAGGAGGTAACCCTTGTGGTGTTGCAAAGACAGCTTTGTGTTGGTCAATCACCTTCTTGATCTCTGCACTGATCTCCTCTTTGTGCTTTTCCCCATTGTCCCCAAATAAAGAGGTGAGTTCCAACCAGTAGATTAACCCAGTATGTTGAGCTACCCTTTCCATAGTCCTCAGTGAAACTTGCTCCTTGCTTAGTGCAGGATCCCCAGTAATGGACACCCAGTAATTTCCAATCTTCCAACTAATTCTCAACAGCCCCCAATTTGTTCTGGTATCCCCTAAAGAAGCCAGCCAAGAGAATCCCAGAACTACATCCACAGATCCCAGATCAAACACCAGGAACTCCTCAATAATCTCCACATCTTGGATTTCTAAGACAGTGTTAGTACATCGTCCTTGGCCTCGGATGATCCTTCCACCTCCAACTCTGACCCCAAAGCCACGCTTATCATCAATGGGCCAATTCATCTCCTTGACAACCTTCTCATTAATGAAGTTTCGTGTAGCTCCAGAATCTACTAGCACTACCACATCTCTTCCTCTTATCTGACCTCTGAGCTTCATGGATTTCTCATCGGTAAGACCTGCCTTAGAATTCAAAGAGAGTGTGACTAGTTCTTCTTCTGGTTCTCCTTCCTCTTCCTGGACCTCTCTTGCCTCTTGAAACTCTTCCTCATCATCATCTTCACCCACTTCATGACATTTGAGTCGAGGTTGTTTGCATCTGTGTCCAGGAAACCATTTTTCTCCGCAGCTCCGACAAGGATTAGAATTTCGACCCTCACCCCCTCCGGTTGGTTTTTTAAAATCCCTTGCTGTGTCATAGGGTCTCTTCTGTTGGGAATACTCCACATGTTTCCCTGCATTTCCACTCGGTATCATAGCTTGTGGCTGATACGACTTGGTGAAAGGGCGAGACTGGTAGCTCGACGTCTCCCTCTCTTGCGACTCAATCATTCTCGCAGTCTCCACCATGTCATCCAAATTGTTTGGTCTACTACGAACCACTTGGTCTCTGATACTCTTCTTCAGCCCCTTCAAGAACGAGCACTCCAACACATCTATGGGTACGTGAGGAAGCTCTACTGCTAACTCCTCAAATTTGTCTCTGAAATCGTCAACGCTACCTGACTGAGTGAGGCTAATCAGATGGTCTGTTGACGTATTTCCTCGACTAGGCTTGAATCGTAACACACACCTTTCTTTAAACTCGTCCCAGTTGTTAACCTTCCACCGAACGTGTGAATAACGCCACCACGTGATAGCTTGACCTGTGAGACACGTGAGAGCTTGGTCAATCTTGTCAGAATCCGGCACTCGATTGGAAGCGAAACACCTTTCCAACCTGAAAATCCAATCTTCTGGGTTTCTCCCATCAAACAAAGGCAGATCCAGAGGTTTCCATGGCCATTCCGGTGTGGGTTGGAACATGGTCGGGTTAGGCGCAGTCGTCGGAAGCTGGGGTGGTGGTGGTGGTGCTCTTGGTTCGACAGTTCTGGTCGGAGTCTCCGTGTACGGTGTGGGAAGAATGGGTTGCTTTGAGCTTTGCTCTGTTGTCTCTTGCGGCGTGGGCGTCGCCTGGAACTGAACCGAAGAGAGAGGACTCGCGAAAGCAGCTGGTGAAGATTCACGACCTTCACGGTTCATCTCGACATTCTGGTTCTGAAGGATGAGCTTGAGAGCTCCATGGATGTACATAAGCTCTTTTTCCAGACCCGAAACTCGTGATTCAAGTGACGGAGTTGTTACAGTTTCAGGGGGAGGAGTCTCGAGCTCCGGTGTAGCCGATCTCGACTCCGGAACGACGGCGGCGGTTGGATTGGGAGCCATCGCACTCTCAATGAAAGCACCAATGATAGACTTAGTAACCTTAGTAACAAGAATAGAAAGAGGGAGAAAAGTATTGCACCGTTGTGACGGCGGAGAAGAGATAAGATAGAAGAGAAATGATATGTTATTGATGATTCAAAACCATAGCTTAACCCTAAAATGGGAAGCTTCCCTAAATACATAATGTAATTGTAAAACGACAACACTTTGTCAATAGACTTATTAAGAGTAGTGAAGCCTCTGACTCTCCCAGCAGGTCCTTCACACTTAGCCACTTTCAATAACCTTCTTCCTCAAATACTTCTCCCTAGCTCTTTCCTTTCTTCCATTAGTTCTCATCTTCCTTCTCATCAAAGCCAATGGTACTCTGAGCCTATCATGGAAGTTTAACTAATCTCATGGAAACAAGGTCATTGTCTGATTCAATGATCAGAGACTCTACTCGTATGATTCTTGAAGGACTTGTCTCTATCCATAGTCAGGGTTACGTTCATTGCGATCTCAAACCTAAAAATATTCTCGTGTTTCCTCGTACTTGTGGGTGCAACGTTGTATACGATTTGAAGATTTCGGATTTTGGAATGGCGACAAAAGTTGGAGAAGACTCGGAGTTTTGGGAATATGATTCTCCGTTTTTGGGAACGTCTCTTTACATGTCGCCGGAATCGGTTCAAAACGGGATCGCGGAGGAAGCCCTAGATTTGTGGTCATTAGGCTGTATCGTGTTGGAGATATATACCGGAGAACCTCCATGGCCGTTGAAAGATTCTGAGAATCTTTTGCCTCTTTTGTTGAATGGTAATGCGCCAGAGATCCCGGAGTCACTTCCTTGGGATGCAAGACAGTTTCTAAAAACGTGTTTCGCAAGTGATCTTTTGGAAAGAGGAAGCGCTTCGGAGCTATTGAAACATAAGTTTCTACACAATGTTTCCGATCAGAAGAGTGTGAGTGTTACGGGCGCCGTAGATAAGAGAGAGTCGGTGGTGGTGCAAAAGTCGAAGAAGGTCCTAAGAGTGAAGATTATACCACCAAAGCCACCACAGGTAAAGAAAATCTCGAATCGACCGTTGAAGTTGAAGATTATACCTCCCAAACCTCTTGTTCCGATTCAGTAGAGTGTATTCATAATAATATTAGTCTTTGTTAGTTACGTGGTGGTTTAGAACTTTAGATCAAGTTGATTACACGTTGATGCAATTGTAATGCTTCAATTATATATTATCAAATTGTAATGGTGTACTGTAGTTGTTTTCTAGCTATAGAGAAAGTCCTTTATGTTAAACTTGGAGAATTTATGTCTCTTTACGTAAATGTGTTATCCTCTGTGGCAAACAAAGTAGTAACCAAGTTGGATTGAAGGTAATCTATAAGTAATTTATACATAACTTGGAAGATTGTTGGAGTTTCTATAACTACATACATATCTCCAAATTTCCATTTTTGTTTCTTGATTACAAGTTTTCAGGATATACATTTTCAAATAGAACTCCCCTTTCTCTTTAATTTTCCACTAAATGGTAGGTATGCTAAATTCCTATTTTTTATTTTTTTATTTTTTTTTTCTGTTCTGAGGACTAAATTGGATTAATAAATTTAAAACATTAGCCCAGTTGGCGTGAATAAAAATGGGCTTTAAAGACCATAAAATAATGGCCCATTTTGGGGAGTAACTAATTTTGTCGCGTAGTAGTAGAGAAGGAGGGAATTCGAAAACAGATGATAGCGGCAAACACAGTAGCTCGAACAAGTTGATTCATCCTCTTCTTCTCTGCTCCCTCATTCTCTTCTTCATCTTAAGGTCTCTCTCAGTTACAGAAGATGGAGCAATCGCAGGTGGTTCTCTGTTTCTCAGTTTCTCGGAATCAAATTCCAGGTAATTGATTTTGATTATGAACGATCGATCGATCTCGTTTAATGAGTTTCTTCGTTTCGTTTATGCTTGTAATTTCTGATAATCCGTTCGATTTCGATTTTATGGATCCTGGATTCTGGTTTCTCTGGTGATCGATTTGATTGTTCTATTGGAGAAATTGTTAAAAAAATTCCGGTGATCGATTTGATTGTTCTGAAGATATATTAGGATAATCAAATTTGATTTCCCCAAATTTTGGGTGATTTGGAATCTAGAATCTTGTTGTTCCGTGGTTTGCGTTGTCATGGATTCTGGATCCTGCGATTGCTCTTCTTCTTTTCGTATTTGATATATGAAATTATGAATCATGTGTTTGTCTCTATACTAGATTTCAGTGTTTTTGATGAATTCATGAGTTTCTTTTGTTTTTTGAATCCTGGGCATAGAATTCAATCCGGAGAAAGGGAACTTGACCGAGAAAATTTTGGATCATGTGGGTGATTTCAAAAATCTGGAAGAGGTGGTGTCTAAGCTGACAGAGAAACTGAATCTGACCGAGTCTCAGGTTGCGAGTATAAGGAAGACATTGGTTAAGGCTGAAGAAGAAGCTGTGCAAGTTCGATCACCAGCACCACCACTGAAGAGTGCTGCAAATCCATCTAGTAAATCGAAGAAGAAGAATATGAAAAAACAAGCCTCTAAGCAGCAGAGTATAAACTTCTTCTCACTTATTTCTTTTCTCAGCTTCTTCACAGCATGTGTGTGTTTCTTCGATATCAACAAAGCTTCTGATTTTTGTTTGTTTTTGGCTTCTTTTAGCAGAAGCTGAACTACGACTACTTGACCCTGCCGATGCTGAAACAATTGAAGCAATGAAGAAGGAGATTTTAACCACTGTGGACTTGTTGAAGATCGTACAGCACCTACACAGAGTGTTATTCCCTACAAGGGTTGGAGTTAGACAAGTGAGAGCTTCTTCTGGTGACAAAATCAGTGGACAAGTGAGAGCTGGAAACAAAGTCAGTGGACTAGTGAGAACTGGGAACATCATCAGTGAACAAGTGAGAGCTGGGAACGTCAGTGAACAAGCAGGGCTAAGGAAGCATGTTGGAAACCGATGGGAATGAAAGAGCCAGCGAAGATACAGACTCTTGATGGGATCAATTGGAGGGAAACAAATCACACAAATCCAAAAAAAAATACAAAAAATACCATATATAAAAGGCCCAATATAGAATCTTAGAGATTTGACTCTTATCGAATCTTAGTTTGTGAAATAGCGAGATATGTACCTATTGAATTAGCAAAATAGTGGTCTCTAACCACCTCTCCATCTTCCTTCTTTGGAGATTGAGAAATATCCCCAAAATGCTTTCTTTTATCTGGTGAAGACCTCTAGGAGAGGTCGACCTAGTTTCTTGCAAGTAAAAAGTTACGTCAAGGTTAGTGATGGTGGTTTCGTTAAATCTCCTTTCATTAACTTTTCCATTGAGTTTCTCTTTGCCCAAGTTGTTGTTTCTCAGCTCGTCCTTAGAAAGGATAGGCAGCCGTGGCCTTTTCAACTTTGAATCTCTTTTACCCGTTTTCAGCCGGATCCTTTTGAGTTTCTAGCAACCGGTGAGATTTGGAGATTGATTTTTTAGGTGTAAATCGTGTTTGGCCTGAATTGGTGAGCAAAACCAAGATGTTTGTTTGGTATTAATGCCGGCGACATTCTCAGATTCACCGGAATTGGAATCGCATGCAGCAGAGATTGTGGATTAAACACGTGTCCCCCGCTCTTCAAAATCGTGATTACACGTCTCGGACGTTGTTCTGTCTTCTTCTTGGGCCTTTTGGGCTTTATTTATTGTAAAAGTTTACATACTTGAGCTGTAGTTGTAAGATACGTTCCAGCTTTGATGTCCCGTAAATCATTCGGGCATTTGTACCATGGTTTGTGTTATATATACAACTGGCCTTTGTGAGAAAAAAAAAAGAAAAGTAATTGGACTAAATTAACATTTTTTCAATTTAAAATTTTATAACAAACAAATGACCACATTAAAAACAATTAGTTTTACAACCTTGTGGAAGTCGGTAATTCATTGTGAAAGCTAATATACAATATTGTGTATTCATATACACTCAAAAATGTTAAAATGCAATTATGTATACATGATCTCATTTTATTTCTTAGGAATCACCTTGGTTTTTTATTCTTCTTTTCTTTTGCGTCAAATTGAATTAGTAACAACTAAATGGAAACAAACTTAAGAATCACCTAGATATTTTCCTGACTTTTTAGACTAATATTTTGGTATACTCCTTTTTTCTCTAATACTCAAAAACATATTCGAAGAATTGATTTAACAAATGAAAACCATATTAAAACTAACATAAATTTCATTAAGTACAATATTATAATTAAGAATACATGATCAAATTAGTTTAGCTTTGGGTTGGATTTGAGTTATCTAGGATACCCGAAGTCTCCTATATACATTACTAGTTTAGTACCCGTCCGATGGACGGATTATCTTTATTTTAAATTAAATGAAAATGAAAATTTATTATAATTTATAAGAAAATAATTTCCATATCTTTTTTCTGAAAAAATAAGAGAAATTATTTTTATTTGGAAAGAGATTTTATTTGGTTTGAAATATCAAATATATGTGCATATATATATCTTAAAATTCGTTATTAAACGTTACTTATAAAAATCTAGTAATGTCAAACTGACAATCACCAAAACATTTGGGAGCTATTCACCATTATTCATAATATTTAAAAAATATTTAAAAAATCTTAATTTCGTAATTATCCTCTAAAACATTATTATACTATTTTGTAAAAATTGTTATTTCTTAACTTTCAATTTTTCAAAAAATCATTCTCATACTATGAAAATTAATTCATTATTGTTTTGTAAAGTTCTTTCAAATTAACATCAACCTAAAATATGATGTTAAATACAAATATAGTCATTTGTAAATAAGTTCATATAAACAACGCAAATAAACATAAAGATTCAAAAATAAATTATAGCGTTGAGGAAAACATTAAAAAATCATTCAAATACGAATTATAAAAAATTATATATTTAAAAAAAAAAATATTTTAAAATTACTATATTTCGAATTATATTGAACTTTTGTTATATTTTATTTAAGCTTAAAATATTATTTTCGAAAATATTTTATTCACCCTTATGTTTTAGACAATGAAATTGCTCAATGACATAATACATTAATACATAAATTAAAAATTAAACAAATATAACATATTATAAAATAAAAATCATGAATAAAAATATTTATTTAGTTAAGCTCAAAATCTATTTTATTTGTAAAATGTAAATCCTAATTCTTGTTTATGAACCCAAACTGATAAATAACCATGTTTAATTGTAAAACCTAAATCTCACTCCTCTTTTATAAACCCAAACCGATAAATAATCTCGTTTAATTATAATCTAAACTATAATGCGCATTTATAAACTCAAACCAGCATATAACCCTTATAATTGTAAAACCTAGAACTGGCAAAACCAAAAATTAGATTAATAGTTGAAGGAGAATTTTTAAGAAATGCCTCTTTTGATGTACCCATATTTAAACATACTAATTTTCTTGCCATTTTTAAAAATACCCCTTTTAAATATGAAAAATTGTAAACTTTTTAATAGTTTATAAAGGTACATCTAGATCATCATTACTACTGGGAGACTCAATACAAATATTTATAAAGTTTTAAAAGGTTCTAAATAGCATTTATAAGACATTTATAAGGTTTTTATAAGGTTTACAAAATTTTTATATGGGTTTTAAAGGTTTTTATAAGGTATTTATACAGTATTTATGAAATATTTATATATATAAATTTACACACATATCAAGATTATTTGTGTATATATATATAAGCTTACACATATTTTTTTAATAAATATCAATTTTTTTAAGTTTTTAATTTATCAAAAATACCGTTTTTCTAGTACCACTTTTTAAAAATATCACTATTTCAAACTTTATCAATAAATCACTAAAAATGTTGACATTTCTCCAAATATGTGTGTAAACTTATAAATATACACACAAATTACCTTTATATATGTATGAATTTTTATATATCTTTCATAATTAGCGTAAAATAACTTATAAATACCTTTTAAAAACCTTTTAAAAACATTGTAAACCGTTTCAAAAAACCATTTAAAAACCTTATAAAACGATTTAAAACCTTTTAAAACATTAGAAAATATTTGTATCAAATTTATATAATTCTTTATAATATTTATTTTATATATTTCCTTTTAATATTTATATGAAAACATTATTTAATTATTTAATGAAAACATTATATAATTCTTTATAATATTTATTTTATATATTTCCTTTTTCGATAAGGTTAATAATATTTCTATTTTATCTAAATATTAACAAAATTAAAATTGACATGTGTCAATATCTTATCGTTTATAATTGACACATGTCACGATTTTGTTAATGGGTGACTTTGAAAATGAAGGTTTATATAATAAGATATGTTTCGTAGACCAAATCGCGTATTTTGATATCAGTGAATTAGCAGTTAGCTCGTATATATAGATTGTAATGTTTATCAGCGCATCAATATTTTATTTACCCCGACCGACTCATCCATGTTTTGAACTAATACGACAGTTTATAAAACTATTGTTCGTTCCTTTTTTTTTTACTTAAAAGACTGACTCTTTTTATTTTTGCCTTGGCCTCTAAAAACGAATTAGAAGCAAAGAGACCCTAATGGCGCCGTCGGAGCAGCTACCACTAGATTCGGTCGGAGAGATACTTTGTCGACTGCCAAGGAATTCACTTGCTCGATTGAGAGTGGTATGTAAGCAATGGAACGCTACTTGGGAGGACAGGAGTTTCTTGAACAACTACTTTACTCACGCTCGCCCTCAATTCATCCTACGGACAAATTCCGAGATTTATTCCGTAGACATCATCAATCTCAATCTCGACCATGGTTCACAGATAGATGTGAGTGAGATAGGTTTAGATTATATCCCATGTAAAATGATCACCAGCTTAGTTCATTGCGATGGGTTCTTCTTATCTGATATGTTTAAAAGAGGCTTCGTGATTTGGAACCCCTGGTTGAGACAGAGTAGATGGGTCGTACCGGAGGACACACGCGAATATAGATTTTGTGGCATTGGCTATGATAACACTAGACCCGAAACGGGTTACAAGATCTTTGGGTTTTGTATTTGCTTCGATGGTACTCGCCAGCTCTACCCGAACCCGAAAGTTGCCATCTACGACTGCAAATCCGATGCGTGCAAGTTTATTGTGAATGCCTCTTGGGGAAAAGATTGGCGTGTACCAGAGTTAGATAGTATTGTGTCCTTTAATGGTAATTTATATTGGGTTGCTTATGATTCAAAGACCTGTGAACATTTCATCCGAAGCTTTGATTTTTCAAAGGAGATGTTCAAGACTTTTTGTCTTCTACCTTGTAATGAAGAAGAAGACTTTGCCATTACGCAAGTCCTTGCTGTTTTCAGGGGAGATCGGTTTTCTGTGTTAAGGCAATCTTACATGACCAGGAAGGTCGAGATTTTGGTGACGAAGCATAAGATTGACAGTAATGGAGAGGCCGTGGTGTGGAAGAGTTTAATGAAAGTGTCAATACCTGATTTCCCTAGGTTACAGCAAAAATGTTTTGGTGGCTCTGGGCCAAGTTACTTCGTTGATAATAAGATGCTGTTTGTGTGTACTTCTGATGAAACTGGGCATCCTTGCATCTACATTGTACAGGAAGATGTGTTCAGGAAGATTTCAATAGATTCTGTGGTTGATCGTTGGTCTTCTTGCCTTACCTATATCCCCAGTTTTGTCTCCATTCCTTTAGCTCAAAGAAACAATAAGGATCGCTTATAATGGTTTTCTAGCTTTATGTTCTGTTTTTATAGTTAATCAAACAATTATGGTTTGGACTCGAGTCATTAAACTCTTATATATATCGCTTTCTACACTTTTATTTTTTTAAAAGGTTTTCTCAGATGTGAATAATCTCTCAAATTGATGTGGATCAAAGAAAACAAGTTTTTTACTTAAAGTTTTCCATGTATAAAATAAAAGACTTTCTCTGTCGACAAAAAATAAAATAGAAGACTTTCTCTATAACTAGACAACACAAATATCATACAGTTTAATAATATAACTAGATTCGGACCCGCGCTACAGCGCGGGGGAAAATTACCGGATTTTTAATCCTTTGTACGTTGCGGGATAATTTATTTGTGTTTGCTTTACTTTATTTTGATTATTAATTAAATTCTATCATTTTTAGATTGTATTTTTGTGTTGGTTTCGAATATGTTCAAAATTATTTAAATTGTATGATTTTAGTTGGATTGTTAATTTTAGAACAATATGTGACATATATACATGTATAAATATTATAATATGAATCATTTTTAAAGTTTAGGGATTGACCCGCGGTACACCGCATAATCATAAATACATGATTTTAACTTGGACCTTTCATGCAGTTTTGTAAAATTGCAAATCTCTAAAATAAACAAATAAAGATATTTAAGGATAAACAAATCTCTAGAATAAACAAATTTAAAGATCATAGTTAATATAGGAGAAAACTATACATCTAAATATTAATATAAGATATTTAAGGAACATTTTGTTTTGAAATATTATGGATAATTTGATAAATATTTTATATTTAATTTATATTTCTGATTTTTAGGTTAATTTGTTAAACCAATATACAAAATCATACATTAATGTATTTTTCCTTAAACAAATTAAGATTAATGTACTTTCCAAAACCGATATTGATGGTTTAATTTGGTAGATTTCGAAATAATATATATGGAAACTGGTATTTAATATTTTAAAATTTTTAGTAAGATCCAATTGAAAAATTTCGGGTTAATTTTTTAAAAAAACCCGACCCAAGAAACTTTTATACTTCTCTTTTACTATAGTAGGGATTGAAGCATTACAATTGTATTAACGTGTAAAATTGCATTACACTCTACTGCACCGGAACAAGACTGAATCCTGGGGGTTTGGGAGATATGATCTTCAGCCTCATAGGTCTATTCGAAATTTTCTTAAACTGTGGTGGTTTTGGTGGAATAATCTTCACTTTTAGGACCTTCTTCGAAAACTGCTTAGTCTTGAACACCACCACGGATTCTCTCTTATACCGGTATCATTAACCTTCTTCTGATCGGAAACATTCAGTAGAAACTTATGCTTCAGTAGCTCCGAAGCTCTTCCCTTTCCAATGATTACTTGCAAAACACGTTTGTAAAAACTGTCTTGCCTCCCAAGGAATAGACTCCGGGATTTCTGGCGCATTACCATTCAACAAAAGAGGCAAAATATTCATAGAATCTTCCAACGGCCATGGAGGTTCTCCGGTATACATCTCCAACACGATACAACCTAAAGACCACAAATCTAGGGCTTCCTCCACGATCCCGTTTTGAACAGATTCCGGGGACATGTTAAGAGACGTTCCCAAATACGGAGAATCGTATTCCCAAAACTCCGAGTCTTCTCCAACTTTTGTCGCCATTCCAAAATCCGAAATCTTCGATTCGTTTGCAACGTTGCACCCACAAGCTAAGTACGAGGAAACACGAGTATATTTTCAGGTTTGAGGTCGCAATGAACGTAACAGTGAGTGAAGTCTCTGATCATTGAATCAGACAATGACCTTGTTTCCATGAGACAAGTAAAAACTTCCACCTGCTGCATACTCCATTGACATTCTATACACTCTGACTCCGTAATCATTGACACCTCTCGGCATACTTGTCCCACAAGTTTGCACGATTCTAGGGCATTCTCTGAGTTTATACAGAATTTGAAACTCTTTGAGATGACGTTCCAAGTCTTGCGGGTAGGAGGTTCAATGGTCTGTATTGCTACAGCTGCTCCTTTTCCCTATCTCTCTCACTCTATTGGCAATAGAGACCATTCACCAGCTTATGCGGACAATCACTCCTATTGCTTGACTTAATTGCTAAAATTAATGATGTTGCTTCTTCTTTATTTTTTTTTTCTAAGAGAGAAGAAACTAAAGTTGAAAATGTAAATAACTCTGAAATTTGAAACTCTTTACTCTCCATTGGTTTGTACAATGATTGAAACTCCATAACTCTGTAATGACATATGAGGCACAGAAAGCATAAAAAGAAAAACAGAGTCTGTATATTTGATAAATTAAGGATCATACGACTGTGGATCTACATAGTCTGGTAAGGAGGCGATGTTTCACTCGAATCTTAAGTAAAAGATCTTCCAATAAGTCAAACTCGTCCTGGAGATGTTCTTCATGAAGAGCTTGGAGTTGTGAAGGATCAGCATTTACTACCGCTGAAAAGAAAACAAGGACACACATTTCGTAACAACAACGACAAAGGAAATCAGTTTACTTCATTTGATATTGGTTTCAAACGTTCTTACGGGGTGGAGGTTTTATCCCTTTGTATTCAAAAATGAGATGTAACGCACGAATCGCTATAATACCTGCGCATTAATATTATACAAAACATAACAGAGAACTCTAAAAAAGCAAAAAAGAAAGAAAGTGTCGTATGTATACAAAGTTATTAATGCGGGCTTACGAGTTGCAACTTTCATCGTTGAACAGGCTTGACCCAGGGTGCCGAGTAAACAAGTGTAGTATTCTAGATCTCTTCCGCGAGTTATCTTCCATCTCTGAAGCCACAAGTCGACATCACAAGTAGATGCTGCGGTTAATCGAAGTTCAAGACCACAATACGGTTGCATTCGGATCTCTATCGCCTGAATTTCCCTCAGTCTCTCAAGGCAATCATTGATTTTGTCCTTAACCTGCGAGAATATCACAACAAGAAGAAGAAAATAAGTAACAACAACGTTGTGTGGGTCAAATACTGGCTCTAGATAGAAAGAGACAACATCCAAGCATGAATCATAACAACAACAAGAAAAGAAGTAGTCAACAGAAAGAAGTAACAACAACTTTGTGGGTCAAAGACTGACTCTACGAGAGCGAGAAAGAGATAACATCCCAGCAAACTTCTTTACCTGTTTGTCTAACACTTTTGTACGCTCACTCATTCTGAAGTCTGCCCCTGCCACAGGAAATCTCAAATCTCAAATAACCCTAATTGATTATCAGAGCACTTTTTATATATTTTTTCTTCACGGTTCGGGCCAGAATAATAAAGCTAGCCCATTATTATTTAGTTTGGGTATGTTCGATACCTTTAAGTTATGGTATAAATTCTGCTGGAAGTTGAGCACAATTACGCTTAAGGATCCTGAGCCAATGCTAATATTTGTACATGGGGATTATTATTGCCTTCACCTATTCTCCAAACGATTTTGGTCACAGTAGTAGACTAGTACTGGCTTGAAGCTCTGGCTGGCACATGTAACAATACTTCTTGTATCTCTAGTTATTTTTCTTCAAGTAAATAAATAAAATTCGACATCTTCAAAAGAAATTACAGTTGCACATTCTCCCCTTTGTTTTTTTTGTTAAGTTTAATCATTTGCATGCTCATTCTCTTCTCTAATAATGGTCAGATATATATTTTAGGAATTGACTTAATTTACTAGTGAAAACCATATTAAAAGTAGCATTAATTTCATGAAAATGCAAAATTATAAATTATAAATAAGAAGTAAAATAGATGATCAAATTAATTTAGGTTTTGGCTAGAATTGAGTTATGTAGTTAAAATATTTTTTTACCAAAATTGAGCCTAATAGGCTTAGGACTGAATTACCTAGGTTCTCAATCGTTAGACTCATATTTAGTTGAACCAAAATAAAATAATTAAACTCAGATTATTTGATTTTCTTTTTATGATATATTTTTTTGGATTGTTTGAAATCTTAAAAAAACAAAAAGAAAAATATATATTTTTATGGATCTTACGGCTAGATTAGTTGAAAGAATCACCATTGTCCACTAGTTCTGAATTAGTCATTGTTTATGCTAATAAAGAATATCATAAAGATTCGTTCAATTGCTCTCAGGTAAAATTCTGAAATATATCATTAGCATTTACGATGACACTAAATATGACACATTGACCATGACATGATTGGCACCAGATTCGTCTTCCTGAAATTCCACTTAGCCAAGCTGTGCTTCGTAAACTGCGGGAGAAGCTCGCAAGTGACTTTAAAAACGACACATCAAAGCAGATGCTACGAGCTACCACGACGCTTCCCAGAAGACATTTGACTTTGTCAATCTCCATGTGCGTCACTACATGGAGGCAATAAAACTGGATACAAGTGCCATTACCTTCTCAGGCTTGTGAAGGTGGACTTAGATTTGCTGCGATTTAATTGTTTATGTCATATTTTCTCTTTCGATTCTATGATACATCCCTTTTTATCTTTCTCTTTTTTTCTTTCATTGTGTTGAATGAGTGGCTTAAAGGATATGATACGTGTAGCTGGTTTTTTTTTCCCCGAATGAAAGAATGCTAAACTTATTCAACTCAAGAAAACAATGTTACAATATATGCATCCTTTATGCTGAAAAGATTTGAAAATGAATTAAAAAAACAAAAATTACATCCAAAATAACATACGTGTAGCTTTTAACTGCTTCTATCACGATATCATAAAAATGCAAAAAAATTACAACCATCAATCAAAGATGATCCTATCTCAACATATAATATCGGCAGAAAGAAACATAGAGTGAAACTGCTAACTTTACTGGCTTTGTACGAGTACGACCATTGGTAGGAGAGGGTTTGTCTGAAGCCACCATTATAAATCGTCCCATCTTCTTCTGCAGATCATCTAGAGGGTCCATTGAAATCTTTTCCAATCCTATCATCACTCAAATAAACCCCACACTTCTCGTAGAAGCTTATATCTTGCATTTGAAGTCGTTGAGCCAGTAAAGTCACTCCCCTTGTCAACGATGGATGTAAGAGGAGAGTCCAGTTCCTCAAGCTCCTCGTCGCTCGTGTATCCTTTTCTCTGTATCATAGACACGTTCCTTGTCAATTTTCCTGCAGCCTCTGCAACTTTTTCTGCTATATCCATGGTCGAAGGAGGCATGTAAGAAACAGAGGAAGCTGCATAAGGGAAGCTTGCTTCTGATAGCTTCCCATCACCAATGCTCTGGAAATATAACCAAAAAAAAAAATGATGTTTACAGTTTTAAGTTTTGGATTGGGAGTACATATAGATTCCAAAATTTGTATTGTACCTCAGCAGCATTGAGCTCTTCTAAGACGGCACCAGGTACATGATCAGGACAGAACTCATCAGGTGTGAAGTTGCAGAGTATTCTTTTGATGAGTGGAAGACTGATTGATGGGCACATCTGTTTATAAGAAACCAATAAAGTAAGGACAAAGCTCGTGAATGCAATGGGAATAACCAAGAGACAAAAGAGTGACTGAGAGAAATATTAAACAAACCTCTTCTCTAATGGATCTTTCCATAAGCATGTCTTTTGGGAGCATAAGAAGATCACTAAGTTCATTTAGTAAAACAAAGGGTTTACTTTCTACGTGATCATCTTCTCTGTCTCGTGTTTCTTTTGCTGAAGAATCATCAGAGTTCATGCCGAACATTTCAGTGAGGCATCTAGACCAATTCCCAATCTGCAAGGGAAACATTTCGTCAGTGGATTTTTCAACATTATAAACTATCAAATGTATTCAAATATGAACTTTGTTTCGTGTTGCTTACCGCATTTTTAAGTTGTGCTCCTGATCCAAAACTCAAGTCTCCAGCAGGAATAGGCAGCACTTTGGAATCAAGGATAGGATCAGAGACAGGATCGGTTGGAATCTGATGTTCTGACTCGCGCAGAATAGCATTGAACATGGCTACATCGAATCTACCGATACACTTGTCCATAACCTGTTTAAAGAAAAATGAGGATATGATTCTTATGTCTTGGCTCTTGTATTTTGAAACAAATGGAAAATCTGATTACCATTCTAGCCAATACGGGTAAGCAACCGCATTCATGTCCTGCGCCTCGCATAGGACAAAGCCGTTGCAGAGCATCTCGGTAAGCATTTTTCCATAGGCTTATCGAAAAGGTCCCTTGGTTCTGATCACCCAAGGAAGGTCCCATCAGTTTCCCATTTGATTTACTGACTGATGAGTCGTTTTCAGGAGATTGCATATGAGGAGTGAAGACCTTAAAGACATGAGAAGAAGAACAAAAGTGAGATGCTACATACACAAACTAAGAAGCTCATTTTAGTTACATTTGGTATGTACCTGCCACCAAACAGACTCAACGATTCTAGAGAATACCCAAAATTCGATTTTCTCAAGTGCAGTAGTAAATGTCTCAGTTTCTTGCCAATCCTCCAAAAGCTGTTGGAAACCATTCTTCCATCTCAGGTTTGTTTTCTTGCCTGAATCACCATGGTCACTCCCATTTGAGATCTGTGTAATGCGAGACTTACCAAACGCTTGCGAAATTATTTGCCTTAGAGCTATGATGTTTGATAACCAGAAGGTCAACCTAACAAATGGGAACCAAGAGACAGCAAAAAGAAGACATTTGCTTACATCACAACTGAGAAGAACCAAGATCCTGAAGTTTCACTCAGTGTCAAAAATAGTAAGCGTACCTCGGAACATCATTCCCACAAGATTTAGCAACCAAAACAAGACCAGAAACAGAGTTTCTAGCAATCGTAGCACGCTTTCCCTGAGTAAAATGCTTACAGGCATGGATATAGATTCTAGAAATACGCCGAGCAGGCGTATGAAGCTTGTGTGCAGAGCTGCAATGGTCAGGCACAACAGAATAGAGCGAGATCTCAAGTGCAGCAACTTCTCTAAGCTCCTCTTCTAGTTTCTCGATTCTCGTCTCTAGATGTCCAATCTTCTCTTTCGAAGATCCTTCCTCAAAGTTCCCCCCATCATTCTCTTTTACATCAGCCGCCTCACTCTCACTTCCAGCACTAAGAGCACCATTTGAAGCATCTTCCCATACATCGGCATTGATACCTTCTCGAGCATCTGTATCGATTTCCTTATCAATGTTTGCATCTTCACATTCTTGTTCATCAACATCTTTCTCCAAGTCACAAACAGATCCACTAGAATTATGCTCCTTCTCCGTTTTGTCCACAACTCTGCAAGAATCTGATACTTGATGAGCATCTGCAGAGGCAGTGGCACAACTATCATCGTCCAAGTAACGAACATCTACCGTTTCGTAAGCCTCAGAGGGATCTGACTGTGTGGTTGAATCACTTGCAACTGTAGAGATGTTACTAGACAATTCCTTAGCGTCCAAGTCCTTTTGTTTCTCTTGTTCTGCTTTTTTCTGGCTATTCGTCTTCTGCAGCTTTTGATCTTTCCTTACACTCTTGGTAGATCGCTTCGACTGGACATTGTTATTGTTAGCTGTTCTTGCCTTCATCATGAAACTCGTCCAATTCAGCCAAAGCAGCAGTTATCCCACAATCTAATAATTTAAAACTCCTTCAAGCGATAAAGCAATCCAAGAAAGATTTGTGTAACCCTACAGGAAATAGAAAGAAAACAAAAATCAGTGATAATCCTCAAACAGTGATAAATTTTTAGATATTGGTTGAGCAAGAGGAGCGAAATGATAAAACAAAAAATACAGCTAGATAAGATATATTCTTGTTCCTGAAACGACAAGAAATAATGGAGGAGGAAAATGACATAATTGGTACTTGCTACGTTTTGTCTGAATCTACAGTATCATTTAGGGTCCCAACTTTTGTTCATAGAGAATGAATGCATACACACATACGGATTTATAAGAATTGTTTTGATTTTGTCTGAGTTACTATAGTTATGACAAAATTAATTAGATTTTGAAAAAACTCAGGAATTGAATTTTCCAAAAACATTTAAGTTTCAGAGAGTGATAGAGAGAAACAGAGCATATGAAACCAACCATGAGGACTAGAAAAGAAAAGAAGATTACCAGTAACTGAAAATATCCAGAGGAAACAGAACAGTCGAAAGAAGAAGAAGAAGAGAATGAGAAAGTGGTGTTTCACATCGAAATCATTACGAAACCCCCGATTCGCTTGTCTTCCTCTTCAAGACCGGTTGCTTTAATCTACTCAGAGTGAAGTCTACTCTCAGATTTGCGTCACTGATGAGATTCACCTGTCTTTATCTTTTGCGTCACTACGATTACCTGTCTTTTATCTGTAATCCATTTAATAATGCTACTTACTTTCTCTCTCTCTATTTCTCTTTCACTATGGGAAGATCCGAATGCGGGAAGTTATGGAGGGTGCGCTTTTTTAAATATACGAAAGAAAAAAAAACATGGATCGTGTTCGGTACGGACTGTAATCGTGGTCGTGACCCATGGAGGTTTGTGTCGGTGGCTCGAGTGTTTACCGGGAATAGCCGGTTTACATTACTAGAAAAAATGTAGCTTCTCTTTTAAATGACCGTTGTGTCCTTTTTCCTTTCGTCCCAAAAACATTTGACTGACATCACCGACACCGACATCAAATTACATACGACTACGAGTGCTGCTCTTTTATGTTTCTTGAATTTGAAATTTACGAAATAAAACATCTAATGTACAGAGGAAAACTGATAAGAGGACAAAGGTTCTTCACATGGCTTGACACTGGACTCTTCTTTCTTTCTTGGGTCTTCAGACCATGTGAAATGATGACGTTTTCGTATTCATTTACTAACCGGAGCCTAATCGTTTCAGTGTTACTCTGAATCATACTCTCGGGAGACACTTACACAGCGAGAATGAATTACTACAATAGCCCTCCCCGATGTGATGCAATTTGAGAGCGCCAGATTGCTCAAGTAAAGCAAACAGCAAACTAAGCTATAACTTGCTTGGATTACCAACCTATCATGTAGTGCGCCAGCAAGGAGGGTACTGAGCTTGTTTAATCCTAGACTCTATCATTGTTTAATCGTCATGCATGACACCAGAGGATGAGATGAAACATCACTTCTTGCTAAAGAGCTGACACAACATTCAAGTTCTATATGCTTAAAGAGAAGAAGATTATCGAGCAACAACACCAAAGGAAACTAATCAGAAGATTCGGAAGCAAGAGTAATCAAAAAGTGGCACTGGTCAAAAGGATTTTCTCTAAAAACCTGCAAAGATTAGAGATAGCTCTCATGTTTTCTACCCCTTGATCACCTGAACCTGAGTGAAACTTTCATCGACTCCCAACTCGAGACTTATCCTAATATAATTGATCAAGCTCCTTCCAAAGATCAAGATCAACATTCCTCATGCTATACCCAAGTATTTGAAAAAAGGCTCAGAATTCAAACATCCAACACTGATGCAATGAGCAGTAAAATCCTAATAAACACCGCAATCGAAGAAACTGAAATCTAGTGTGCTGAATCTATCAATGGTCGACACCATGAGAACTCCACTCAACTACTTTATAGCCTATCAAAACTCAATGTGCAAGCTGCACAAAGCTATAATCACATATCATGACGGAAATCATTACTAAAGAGCCTTCTTGAAGAATGGCAAAAGTCTATGAAACAGAGAAACAATCTATCCCCTAGTTACAGCTATACTATCAGCTTCTACTAATAACTACACAAAAAAGGCAAGTATAAAGATGATCTGAAGAGATTCAGAACTGACTAATGTCAACTAGCTATCTAATCAGTATGCACTGCGTAGAGTGCAATAAGCAAACCAAACATAAACAAGGCATAACCTTAGGACGAGAACCACACAATGTCAGCATACTATTCACGTTTAAACGATTTATTCAACAAATGGAGCAATCAATAGTCGAGTCAAATCCAACTATCTGAGAAACGAGCAAATCAAAGTGACCAAATTTGAGAAGTGTAATAAGCAGTGGAGAGTGAAGGCAATTGCGTTTAAACAGTTAAAGAACACTTATTTCATGAACATTATCATTATCGACAAAACAAAGGAGAAATGAAACAAAGTTCAAGGGCCAAACGAAACCCTAACTCTCCAGTCTTCGTGATCGTCATTGAACGGGTAAAAAACAACTCTTCAAATCCCCGGGAAGAAGACATACCAAATCAAGCATCCGGAGATCCAACGGTGATGCTTAATCGGAGGAATCTCCAGCGTTGGCTAGCTTCTCCATCTCAAGGCGCTCTAGAGCTTTCTGATGAGCCCAAGTCTCGATTGAAAGATCAGGTTTGGCATTGAGTCCGACGCCGAGGATAACAATTGTGAGGAAGCTGGTGATGTAACAAGGAAGCTCCCAATCTTCCCATTTTCGCGACTGTCCCGGTGGCGGAGGAGGCCGGTTCATAAAGTAACCCTTAGGCCGCTCCTCATGACCTGGCGTCGCCCACCGACTCGGACCGGCGGATGTAGATCCAGACCTGGAGAAGATCCGATTTCGTAGCGTCTTCGCTGCGACGGTCAAGGACTGCGTCGACGGCATCGCTTTGGTTCCGATATTTTCTGCTGTAAGCAAAAGGAAAAGGAAATACTCAGATTTGTCAAGTGTCCAACTATATACGACCACGACCTACAAAATGGTTTAATTCGAACCAAACCGAGAAATTCAATTTGGTTTATCAATATCGTCGGTTTAATTGGAACTTATATTATGATTTCAACTTAGATTATCCGGTCTAATAGATTTTGTTTTCTGAAACTCTATTCTATGTCCGGTATGATTTGGTATCCTCACTTCTCAATTTATTCTCGGTTTCGCTGAAAAATGTTGTCGTTCGATTGATTTCGGTTCTGTTCTCGGTCAGTTCGGTTCTTATTTAGACAAGGCAAAATCGAATCGGCACCTTAGACGGTTAATGATTATTGGCTTATTCAATTTATGACATCGTATTTGCACAGTAACATAAAATCTTCATATACTTCTCTTTTATATAGGAAACATTCTGAATTCTACATAGAAAGGCCATGAACAAAGAGACCTGAAACAAATCATAACCTTATGCTACCTCTAATTCAACAATCGAAACTTTAGGAGATATATGTCTCTTATATATATACACAAGCATGCAGTCAAAGTGTTTCCAACTTAGAGCTCCACTTTCACCTGATTTGGCTGTAAAGTCGTTGAACCCATTGGGAAATCGGCTTGATGCTGATCTTCTTCTCTTCCCCATTCAGGCTGATGGTAGCCATCGAAAGGCCATTGTTGCAGCTGATGATAGGACTCTCCATTGAAGCTACCATCCATAAGAGAGCCGTTCTGCAAAAGAGATTTGGACTTCCATCATCAACTCAACTCGCAAAACATATCAGCTTCACTTAGACATGACTAATTCAACATCCTATATTCTCTATCTAGTCAACAGGCCAGCTCTCTTGTACTGTAATCTATCTTAAATGAACAAGGTTTTTAATGAATGGGGCTTGGTTCTTAAATGGTGCACAAGCTGTAAAAGAAGAGGGTCATTTAATAAGAAATTATTTGCAGACAAACAAAAGTTGATTACTATTAGATTAGATAGGTGAAACTTGAAGCAACAATAACTTAAAACTGAGACCCACAGAAAAATAATTCTGCAAGGATATAAAAAAAAGACAGTATCATAGACCACAGAGCAAAGGTGGTCCGTGTTTCTGACCACTTTCTTCTCTCTGTATGATATAATTGAGAGGACTAATGAGTCCTTTCAAAATACTTTTTTGAATCCTTGATCTCTCTGTTTGTACTACATTTCTGTAAGGTCTGTGTATTTATTTCCCCACGTTGTTCTTCTTCTTTAAGCCTAGTCTAGAATAGGGTTGATTAATGTTGGATCAATAAATACCCAAAAGTTTCTCTTTTTGTGATGCAACTAAAAATGTTACTCAAAAATATAATCCCTCTGGTTACTTAAACGGGCAACATGGTCAAAGGGAGGTCTTTTTATATTGAATATTAAACTGAAGAGAATTTTTGTAGAAGAAGATCACATGCAACCTCAATTCTCCTATGTGATTAGATGATACTTACTTCTGAAGCCAATATGGTGTCGAGATTGAAGTCAATTCTGGGGTTTACTGCAGCAAGTCTCATAGATAGCATCTGCAAAGAAGAACAGCAGTTGCGTGACATTGTGGCACCAATCACACATTCCTTAGGTTATTACAGTATCTTAATTTCAGTTAACAAAAAAAATTCCTACCTCCACTTGACGCTGTAAAGATTGCACATGGTTAATGATTTCATCCAGAACCAATGCAGTTCCCTGAATCTGCAGGCCAAAGCTTTCTGGTAAGTCAGACCATAAAGAAGAACAAGCCACAACTTTTAGAAGCAAAAGAGTTACTAAGCAGCAGTATATGTTAGTTATAAAAATTATTAGTTAGTCCTAGCATGTAAACGGCTTCTATAATCTCAACAACTCTGCTATTTTCAACACAATATTGCCTGAAAAGCGAACCAGAGCAACATCTCTCCTTCATAAACATAAATTCCAGGAATTTCTCAAGATTTCATGAATAAACAATCAAGTCCCAGAACCCCACAAATTTGACAAACTCTTAAAGAGTTGTCACTTATCATCATCTCCTTCCACCAATAATTGCTGCTAAATTCCAAGATATCTATAGATTAGTTAGCTGTCTGCAGGAGTGTCACATCATGTTTCCAACCAATTAGGTATTGTGGGACTCAAAGCATATAACAATATTAGTGATGATACTACACTCCTCACCCTCTTTCTACTTGATAGATACCAAACTTATTAGAGACGATACTACTCTCCTCACCCTCCATAGAAAGCCTGCAACTTTTGCCACTTATTATCGAAAACATGGACCCCAAAACACAGTCTGACCTTGATCTATCCACCAAAATATGTCCCCTCTACCCAAAACCTTAAGGGAACACTCCAGCTAGCACTCCCACATCAGAAATCCATTATCGTCATTTATGGAGTACGCTTCAAGCTCAATGAATACCCTTTGGGAAGACGAAACAAGAATCTATTGAACAATGTCACCTCACTTCCGTATTACTACTAGCTTACCTAAATGGTTGTGTGACCCGTGAGATATTATTCCCCACACGAAAATGGAGTTAAGATATTCAAGGCAGTGAAATTACCAAACTAGTGGTTTTGGTCTTTGGCAAACCACAAAACTTTTCTTTCATATAAGAGGAATTTAGCACTAGAAATTTTTTCATATAAAAAGAAAGTGGGAAGGATTTAAACCCTTTATCAAACCACATCTTCAAATTATAGGAAAAGAAAAATCACTTTTTTGGGGGTTGGTCTAATAAAGAAAGATTCTGTCTTTAAGCACAAATGAAGATCTAATTATTGATTAAAAGGTCAATTATCTAAAGACAAACCTTATCACAGCCTGGGACCAGTTCCTGTAGCAGCTTCATTCGTGCGTTTATCTTCTCTCTTCTTGCCTATCATCAAGAATTAATGATTGATTAACGTAGCAACTAATTTAAACCAACATAACAAACCATGCTTGTGAGATGTGAATGAATTACTCGCTCTGCTAAGCTATGGTTATCAGTAGCTTGACCACGACGAGCTCTAACGTGAACATATGGCAACTTGTCTTCCTCTACGGAGCTCTTCGTCTTCTTCATCGAGCTTTTAGCCTAGAAATGAAGGAAAGAAGGAGTTAGAAACTAATCTCGTTAAGTTTTAATAAACACTCAATTGATTGTGAAAAATTGGTATCAGTCACCTTCTTCTCGCGTTCTTTCCTCTTGTTCTGGTTCTGTTTCGAATTCTGATTCTCCGAAACTGAATCGGTCTCAGCAGGCTCGGCCTTGACTCTGTCCAGATTCGCGCTAGAACTGGGAGTTTCGCCGGAGATATATCCATTTTGCTCAGTGGCAATCACAGAGAAACGAGCGGCGCGGTCCAAGAGAAGCGAGTTAGAAGGAAAAGTCAACGTCCCGAAAGGATGAGGAGAGATATCCCCGGCGAGTTTGGTAATGTTCGTCTGAGAAGACGATGAATCTGTGAAATGGAGAAGCTCCATAGCCTGAGTCACGGGCATCTCGAGCAAAGCCGTGAAAGAGCCGCCGGAATTCTCCGGAGGCGTCGTTGTCACCAATTGCCGGAATTCGTCACTGAAATTGAGCGATTCCAGTCCGGTCACCGGACCGATGCCGGATCTAGCTCCGAAACCATGGGTCAGATCCATAATAGGAAAAACAAAATATCACGCTTAAACCGGAATTGACCGAGTTGAAATTCAGAGAAAACCAGAACCGACCGACTTGATCAAACTCGCTCAAGTTAAAAAAAGAAGCTTCTTTTGGAGCTTGAAATCGTTCGACTCGGAAAATTCGAAAATTGAGAAAGCAGAAAGGGGAATTGAATTTCGTAAGATAGAGAAACAGAGGTTGCATCAATGGCGGAATAAGATGAAATAGTTCTCCATCTATCTATCTCTCTCTTTGTGTTTCTCAAAGCTCCCTGAAGATAGAAAGTCTTCTTCTTCGTAAGAGTCTGTGGGTGTGTTCTGAGAGAGGCAAAAGCTTTACACAAGAAGAGCCATTTGGAGTGGGAAGAAAGCAACGTTAGCTTTGGAGTGCGTCTGTTAATAAAGCCACATTTTTTGAGAGAGAGAGAGAGAGAGAGAGAGAGAGAATATCCATTTATGGTGTCTCTGAGACGATGAGAGAGAGAGAGAGAGAGAGAGAGAGAGAGAAAGACGCTTTCTTTCATTGGATCCCAACGGTAAAGGCCTTATGGGGGCCTTTTGGGCTTCGTTCGGTAATTTCTTTCAAAATACTTATGGTTTTTGGGGTCACTATTGTTCGTTCTTGTGGTTTTTACTTTTTACTGGTCATCATTAGTCATTACTATATAGTTAGTGGCCATAAATAAGATACATTTTGATTAGTGACTCATTCACTTTCTTTATTTTTACCCTTTTAGAAGTAACGAATAACTTTCGTTGTTCACCCTTTTTATATTTTGTTAGTCAAGGTCGTTGTTCAGCCTTACTCTTATTTACTGAAATGGGAAAAAGAAACAAATAAGTGAGCTTCACTATTGTGAGATGTATATCAGAGTGCCACACTCGAATTCTGAAAACGACAAGACGTACCCATCCCCCTCACCGATCATTTTAAGTTGCCTGGACCTGGATCTATAAATTTGGCTATTTTAGCGAATTTAATATTGGGCCACATGGACCGTTAAATGAGATTCCTAAACTTGGCCCATCTCACTCAGCGGATTGGGATTTGGGAGTCCTAGTGTTTGTACCAAAAACGGCAACATGTTTGCGTGCTTTGACTGCAAGCCTACAGTGCTCGCTGTTCTGAGATTGTAATTTATTTTTTTACCAAAAGTAATTATTTTTTAATTATGAACAAAAGTTGGATGTGATAAATTCCTAATTTGATAAAGATCTGTGATATATATTCATTTGATACGTTGCTTATGTTGCTTGAATTTGGAAATTATTACGACTTCTCTCTTGTGTTTTAATTTACGGAATAGGATTAGAGCAGAAGTGGGCATCTTTTTTTTTTCAAAATGAATCTTTGTGTGTGGTTTACTTTGTCGGTTGGTTACTTTGTCACTGACACCATCCACTCTCTCCATCGTCTCTTCCCTCCTTTAATTTGAATAAAATTCTAAATTATGGCAATTCTCAATTGAATTCAAAATTCATATCCCCAAAGCAAAAAAAAACATGATAAATACGTCCACCTTACTAATAAGATCATAGCTCCTCCAAAACATGTTTTAACCTCTTTTTAATTACAGCTACAACTTGTAAAACATAAATCATTAGTAGGACTGCAATTTTTTCGTGGCTCGGTATAGGTGTCCTCTTATATGAGTTAAAGATTCTAAAAGCATTTAAGATAACAATTTGTTACCTTTTTTCTTTCTTCAGTCATCATTGTATATTCATATGATTGCTTACTGTCCACTAATTTAGCTTCAAATCAAATTTTCTCAATGGTTCCGGATTATATCCCAACATTAATAGTAAATAAATTGTAATGACCTTAGATATAATAATCAACTCTCTAAGACCAAAAAAAAATAATGTAACAAGAAGCCACCTGCATCAATCAATAACTAAACTTATTAAAAAGTTAACCGAAAAAATAATTAAAGAACCACAAAAACCCAAAACGCAAATCCCAAAATAATAATATTTCAAAACTATACAGGAGTATTATATTATTTTATCATTTCAAAATGATATTCCTGTGCACAAGAATTCAAAAAACTGATCATGAATGAATGACTACATTACTCCACGTTGCTTACATGAAATGAAACCATTTTTAAAGAATCCAACATCGGTCAAATCTCTCATTATTCTTCTCCTTCGTCTTCACTGTTTATCATCTTCCCCTGCAACTTCTCGTTGCTCTGCTTCCTTACCTATATGAATCATTTGTAAGTAACTGTTGCTTGCTTCTCTAACAAACAGAAAGGTCTCAAGATTCTAAAAAATAGAGATACTATGAAGTTACTTTTTGTTCTTGTTACTTCAATCTTTGTCTGCATGAGCTTTTGTTCCTCTCTCAATTCCGACGGCTTATCTCTACTAGCTCTCAAATCCGCCGTCGATAACGACCCGACCCGAGTAATGACCCACTGGTCTGAATCCGACCCGACTCCTTGCCGTTGGTCCGGCATCGTCTGTACGAACGGCCGAGTCACTTCACTTGTACTCTTCGGCAAAAGTCTCTCCGGTTACATTCCATCTGAACTCGGTCTACTCGACTCGATGAACCGTCTCGATCTAGCTCACAACAATTTCTCCAAAACCGTACCGGTTCGTCTCTTCCAAGCAACCAATCTCCGGTACATCGATCTCTCTCACAACTCACTCTCCGGCCCAATACCGGCCCAAATCAAGTCCATGAAATCTCTCAACCACCTCGATTTCTCCTCTAATCATCTCAACGGTTCACTCCCTGAGTCACTCACTGAGCTCGGGAGCCTCGTCGGAACTCTAAATCTGTCTTACAACCGATTTATCGGAGAAATTCCACCGTCGTTCGGTCGGTTTCCGGTTCACGTCAGCTTAGATTTCAGTCACAACAATCTCACCGGAAAAGTACCTCAGGTGGGATCTCTGTTGAATCAAGGACCAATCGCATTCGCCGGAAACCCTCATCTCTGTGGCTTACCATTGCAAAACCCCTGCGAAGATATCGAAACCCCTAGTTTCGTCACTGCGAAGCCGGAACTACAGAAACCAAACCCTAGTGTAATCAGCAATGACGACGCGACGGAGAAGAAGCAGCAAATCACCGGGTCAGTGACGGTTTCTCTGATATCTGGTGTTTCGGTCGTGATCGGAGCTGTTTCTATCTCGGTATGGCTGATCCGGAGAAAACGAAGCTCCCACGGGTACACAACAGATACAAAGACGACGACGGTGGTGGCGGAGTTCGACGAAGAAGGTCAAGAAGGTAAATTCGTAGCCTTTGACGAAGGATTCGAGCTCGAGCTTGAGGATTTGCTGAGAGCATCGGCTTACGTGATAGGCAAGAGCAGGAGCGGGATTGTGTACAGAGTAGTGGTGGGTGAATCGTCCTCCACCGTTGTCGCCGTTAGAAGGCTCAGCGACGGCAATGCCACGTGGCGGTTTAAGGATTTCGTGAATGAAGTGGAGACCATTGGTAGGATCAATCACCCTAACATCGTAAGGCTTAGAGCTTACTACTATGCAGAGGACGAGAAGCTTCTCATCACTGATTTTATCAGCAATGGCAGCTTGTACTCCGCCTTACATGGTAAAACACTAATCTTGCTAATAAAATTTTCAATTTTTATGCTAACTCTGTATCGATCGATCACTAAGTAAGTACGTACAAGGTTTATTTGTACTTGCTCTGTAGATAGGACTATAAAGTGCAGAGCCTTTTTTTTGGTCTTTGTCTGATTGTGTCGTATTGACTAACTTGTTGGCTTCTTCTCCTTGTTTGATTGCTCAAATCTTTACTGTGTTTACATGTGTTAATCTTTAATCAGTAGAGGTCGAGGACAAGCATGGATCTCGCTACCTACCAGAAAAAAACAAACAAAATAGATTTGGTTCTCTATGGAGATCTTGAATAAATGAAGCACTATAGTGTGGTCCTGTTTTCTTCATGGGAAAATTTAAGTAGGTTAGGTGAGCTGATGGTAGTTTAGGGATTGTTTAATGTGACGTAGAGAAGATATTTTTTTGGTGATTAAGCAGCCATTAGATTATGATCCGAGAGATGTGTTTTGTATGTATGCGTTGGTAAGTTAGTTAGTATGCATCATATGTTTGATTCTGTAATCAGGTGTATCAGTGTTCATGAGATTTGTTGTACTTTTGAGGCAATGTGTATCATTGGTTTTTTTGAGATGGCATTTGATTTTTCTTGTAGGTGGATCATCGAATACTCGGCCTCCCCTCTCTTGGGGCGAGAGGTTACGCATAGCACAAGGGACTGCTCGAGGTTTGATGTATATACATGAATACAGTTCGAGAAAGTATGCACACGGCAACCTAAAATCAAGCAAAATCCTGTTAGATAATGAGCAAACCCCTCACATCTCAGGTTTTGGTCTCTCACGTCTGGTTTCGGGTTATCCCAAACTCCTTGATGATTCACTATCAACCAGAACGCAAAACGTTGACCAAGCATTTGCCACAAGACTGTCACTCTCAGCTCCTGCAGCTGCAGCTGCTTACCTTGCACCCGAATCCCGAGCTTCTTCTGGTTGCAAATCATCTCAGAAAAGCGATGTTTATTCATTCGGGGTGATTCTATTGGAGCTGTTGACTGGTCGGTTACCTAATGGTTTCTCTGAAAACGAAGGAGAAGAACTTGTGAATGTTTTGAGGAAGTGCCACAAGGAAGAAAGATTGTTGGCTGAGATCTTAGACCCGAACCTTCTAAGGCAACATTTCGAGGATAAGCAGGTTATTGCAACCATTCACGTCGCTTTAAATTGTATGGAAATGAATCCGGAGATGCGGCCTAAGATGAGATCTGTGTCTGAGAGTCTAGGTCGAATCAAATCGGACTAAACCCTTTGCTGAAAGAGCAGGAAAGTACTGATTGTGTATGTTAATTAGTCCAAGGCAAAGTGGAGTTTTGTAGTCTCTGTGGTTTATTTTCTGGACCAAGTGGATGTATCGGTTTATTATCACATATTCCTTGTCTCTTAATTGAGAGTTTGGTTGTGGATCTAGAGTCTTAAATGGATTATAAAGAATATGATAATATCTCTTTTCAAAACTTAAAAAACGTTGATAGTCCTTGCATAATATAAGATCCTCTCTTGCCAAACAAACTAAAGAATCATATAATATTAGCTCAAGTGGTTTTATAACATATATGTATGTATTTCAAAACTTAGATTCGATTCTGATTAGACGCATAGAGATATTTGAAAGATCATAGTTAACACAAAAGAAAACACTCAAATGTTTTTTTAGTGGACATGTTTAAAGAACTAATGTAATGGAGAAATAGTCAATCAACAAACAGCAAAAAAAGCTCAACCGCATGATTGCATCTTTCTTGCGCATGGAGTTGTGAGAAATGAATTTAGAACCGATCGTTAGCATTTAGCAATGAAAGAAAGGCAAAATCAAATGATATTTCGAATATATATATATATTGGTCAGAACATCAAAACATGATCACATCCCACCGTTGGTCCTTTGTCTCAAATTCACAACAAAAAGTATGACTTTTATAAACCAAAAAACAAGAGAGAGATCTTCATGGCAAAAACATATCTTGCCCCAGCACGATTGATTACTTCCAAATTTAGCAGCCCACTCGAGAAAATTAAATTTAAAAGAGAGAAACACTTGCTTAATATAGAAGTTCCTTTTGGAGAAAAAGATAAAATAGTGAAAGGACCCCTCTTTTTTGAGCTTGTTGACATTATAAAAAGCCGAAGCTGGACCACGATTCCCCACTTCTATCAATGTAATCTATTTTTTCTTTTCAGAACATAAAAAAGTTTTAAATTAAATTGATGGGGAATCGTTTTAATTTTTAAAAAATAAAAATAAATTTCAGATACTATCAAACAATCAAACATTAAGAAAAACAAAAAAAATATATACCACAACATAGAGAAAGAAGCTAATGGGGGGTCTCTCACGTGTCCATGGACGGGGGTTGCTTTTATAATTTTCTTCCCCAATATTTTTCTAAGGCCAAACCTTTAAATTGCACTTCAATACGTCCTATTTTGTTCCTTTTCTGCTTTTTATTTTGGGTGTTTTTCCCTGTTGTATCCATTGCATTTAGAAGAAAAATGTTGAGACCACTGAAATTTGTTTTTCGAAAATACCTTCAACAATGAAGAGTTTGAGTTATGCACGTCTTTACAAGAACTGAAAGAGTATAGTGACGTGTTTTGAAGTGAGAGCACTTGAGAACATTTGGGTGTGATAACTTGGAAAATATTTATTAGATTACATACCATATAGTGTGGTTTGACATGAATATAGCAATTTTTGTTACGTATGATTTGGTAGATTTTTCATTCTTACACGATGTTGTGAGAAGTTTTGTTACATTAGTGATTAATAACAAATGATCATCAGTTTTAGTTTAGATATACCTCTCCCCACTCCCCAGCCCCCAACATATATATACTTCTCATGAACTATTCAATAATAACGACTTAATATAGTACTTAAGGTTATTGGTTAAATAGTAATCGTAACGTGCATCTGCTTTGAGCATACGATTTTTGTCTTCTTCTTGATTACTTATTAAACAGCTCGAAGTTTTAAAACTGTGTAAGCTAGTGATCTATATGTCAATGCCATCGACTCATCAATCTACATGCATCTAGAGAATACACATATATATATAGGGACTTAGCTAGGCACATAAAACGTAGTCCCCATATAAAAAGGATGAAACGAGCAGCTGTTTAACAGCTAGCTAGAGAGAATATATTCACATTCAAAGCAATCTACCCCAATCCACTCGATGGTTCGGTTCATCACATTAAACAAAGATTATTAAGTATATTTTTTAAGTAAAGTTTCGGTTTCTTTTTTTTACCAAATCCTAACAATGTAAAAGCTAAAAATCCAGATTGATACGATAACGAATATGTTGTTTTTTCAGAAAAAAAAAACGTAACCACCGCTAGTTTTAAAAGGAGAAACAGGTCGCTTTAAAATTTTAGAAAGACGGCGCTGATAGCTAGCTCGTGAATTATTAAAGTTTTAAAAAATAAGATAAGATAGGAGAAAAGAAAAAAAAAAACCTAAAGTGTGAAACGACGGCGGACACAGATATGGACGCGCGAGGCGTAAATCTTGTGTGTAATCGATAACGTAGAGTCATCGTCATTGTATCATCTTGGACCAATGAGATTTTCAGAATTGGTCATGTAAGTGTATGTGTAGCGTATGGTCACATACATTGTAGTCGTGCACCAAATCCTGGCCAGTCACGTTACGTTCCCAATGCGTGTTAACGGCGTCGACGTCCTCCGTCACCATCGTGTCGTAAGCTGTGCGTTCCTGTACAGGTTCCGTGAACCCCTATATCATTTTCTGAAAGCTACGTGAATTTATAACTTTTGTTATAAAGTTTTTCTTTCTTTTTTTGACTCTATATTTTACATAAAATTGTACTTCCGACAATTTTCTTTCTATTTAAAGGATGTTTTTGTGTCTAACTATATTAAGATCCTAACTTCTGACTTTTATGCTTTGATGGGACAATCTTAATCACTTAATTGTGTACAATTCGTTGGTATTAGATTTTGTCAGTACAGTTTGCTGACGATGAAGATCTTTTGATTTATTGGTTTATGGATAATGAGAAAAACAATAATATTGGTAAACCAAGATCGAAGTTATAAATCCATGTCCCCAACTTTACACAATAATATATATACTTAATTACATTACTATTATTATCTTTCGAAATTTCTTTTAGAAAGGTTAAAAACTACCGACACAAACAAAATACGAATATTTTAATTAAATGGATGCGTATTGTTGTAATCGTTTATGGCCTACTAAGCAATTTCATTGTCTTCAAGTCTTCAGCATACAGATATTTTTGTTCCTGTGTTATATTAGTATAAGCATCAGTGCATTACATTATTTTTATTTTTATATTTTCTATCTAAAGAAAACCAAAGTCATTTATTTATATTTTTTTTATCTAAAGAAAACCAAAGTCATAATGTTGATGGCATAAGAAAAAATGATACTTCGATGACAAAAAAAAAAAAAATGATACTTCCTCTATTTATTGATGTTTTAAGAATTATTTTTGTTTCTGAAATATTGTTTTTATTGATTAAAAACCTAAAACTATTTTATTTATATTTTAGTTTTTTCCACATTTGATGGTATCTAATGTTTTATATTTTCTATTTCTACCAACAAATTATTATAAATTAATTAAGTTCAATTTATTAAAAACAGAGGAAATATTATGTGGGGAGAGAAATAATAATATTTTGTCACGGGTCCATCAGTAATTTACTTCACATGCTCTTCTTGTATTCGACTGACTAAAAAAGTAATGTAATTTCATCTTGTATTAAAATCTATATTTTCTACTCATTCAAAATTTGATATAAATATTTTCTTTTTATTTAAATTCCAAAAACGTAGATAAAAAAGGAAAAAGCATTTCCGTGACTCAGCTTCACAGGCGGCTTAAAACGACGTCTTCCTCTGTACTTTTCTTTTCGTTTTTTTTTTTTTCTCTTACAATTATATAGTAATATCTTGCTTTTCGATCCGCCGCTATATTCAGCAATTAAAAGTTTGGACTCAGAAACTCTAAAACCAAAAAAATAAAAAAGACGATAAATATTCATCATCATCACCTCTCTCTCTCTCTCCCTCTTCTTCACCGTTCTACTTCTCTCTCTTCTTCTTCTTCTTCTTCTTCTTCTTCTTCGTACGAAACCTCCTTTGCTTCATCTTCAAGGTTTTATCTTCCCCACCTGCTTACATCTGAAGCTCAAGTTTTTTACTTCCCGGGAAAGTGACACAACCAAGAACTTGACAAGCTTAGTTGTGACGTTGGAAAGCTTAATAAAAGATACGGTTTCCCCCAAAGTTTCTTCTTCTTTCTCAAACGTGAAGAAAAAAACAGAGACACTAAAGACAGGGGAATATTTAAACTCGTCATTTCATATTTGATTTAATGGATTCAAATAATACACATACTCATCTTTACGACCCGAATCACATATCTTCTTCTGGTTCCGGTGGTCTTCTTCGTTTTCGATCAGCTCCCAGCTCTGTCCTCGCCTCTTTCGTTGACGATGACAAGAGCGGCTTCGACTCCGATAGGTTGCTTTCCAGATTCGTTGGCGATCTGGGTGGTTCACCTAAGTTCGACGATAAATCTCCTGTTTCTTTAACTAACACCTCTGTTTCATACGCCGCCGCCCCTCTCCCGCCGCCTCTGCCTGAACCGTCGAGTTTTCTGGGTTTGCCGCCGCATTACCCGAGACAGAGTAAAGGTATGATGAATTCGATTGGTCTGGATCAGTTTCTGGGTATGAGTAATCATCATCACACGAAACCTGCTGAATCCAATCTTCTCCGGCAAAGCAGCTCGCCGGCCGGAATGTTCACTAACCTCTCTGATCAAAACGGTACCGTTTCCCTCTCTGCCAAAAACAGTTTTTTTAAAAAGAAAATTCTGAAACCATCTTTTTCTATATAAAATGCTTTAATAGTATTGAATTCAAGATTTTTTGAATGTTTTACGTTCCTTAAGAATAATTTTTTCAGACAAGATCTGATTTTGTCAACCATAAAGTTAAGCACTTTGGACTTAGTGTTTGATTGTTTCTGTTATTACACTTGCCACTTGCAGGTTATGGTCCAATGAGGAATTTGATGAATTACGAAGAAGATGGAGAGAGTCCATCTAATTCCAACGGATTGAGACGCCATTGCAGCCTCTCTTCAAGGCCACCTTCTTCACTGGGAATGCTCTCTCAGATACCTGAAATCTCACCTGAATCGAGTTTTCAATATAGCCACTGGAATGATCCATCCAACTTCATTGATAACTTAACCTCTCTTAAAAGAGAAACAGAGGACGATGGGAAATTGTTTCTCGGAGCTCAGGTAACTCGGTTCTCTAACCGGTTTATTTTGTCTATTAATTTTTAAGAATGTAGTACAAGATCTCTTGGACTTGTTTCTAGTGAATTGAATGATGGTTTGTGCAGAACGGAGAGTCCGGGAATCGAATGCAGTTACTGTCGCATCACTTGAGTCTACCGAAGTCATCATCTACAGCCTCGGACATGGTTTCAGTGGATAAATACCTTCAGTTACAAGATTCTGTTCCTTGTAAAATTAGAGCCAAACGTGGTTGCGCTACACATCCTCGAAGCATCGCTGAACGGGTAACTTCAACTAAGCTAATAAACCATCTTTACATATCAATAGTAGTCCATTTGAAACATTATAGCCTTGTTTGAGTTTAGAAAGTTTCTTCTTACCTAAAATATATGTTGTCAATTGTGTCAGGTAAGAAGAACGCGTATAAGCGAGCGAATGAGGAAATTACAAGAGCTTGTTCCTAACATGGACAAGGTACAGTTTTCTCAAACTTCTTGTAATGAGTCTTGATCATAAACAAATTGTTTTCCCTTGCGTTGACTAGATTCATTGATGCTGGTTTCTTTATGTTTAAACAGCAAACGAACACTTCGGATATGTTGGATTTAGCTGTGGATTACATCAAAGACTTACAAAGACAGTACAAGGTAATTTACAAGAACCAAAGGGCCGGTTTAAGTCTAAAACTATTGAGTATTGAATTGATTTAGAATTCTTTGTTGGTTTACACAGATTTTAAACGAGAACAGAGCTAACTGCAAGTGCATGAACAAGGAGAAGAAGTCAATATAGGGCGAAACAAAGACAAAGTGTGTAGATAGGACAGCAGCGAGAAGGATAAGAAAGAAACAATGTCATGTCTGAATATGTTTTAGCCGAAACAGACCAAATTGTCTATGTAAGCTCTTGAGAAAAATAGTATACGCTTTCAACAAAATCCTAAGCAATAAAATAGGACACCATCTGTTCTTCTTGTTCTTTCTTTTTTTTTCACATCCGAGTTTACGATGCAGAATCTAGTAAATCGAATGTTGTACTACAAAAGGAGGTAAGATCAGCTACAGTAGCTAATTGCAAAGACTATGACCATAAATAGAGTAAGATGCGAAAACTAACTTCAGAACATAAAATCATTCTTCCATGTGATCATCTTTGGCGTCAGAATCTTTGACATCAACAGTGAAAGAGTACTCCTGGTCACAACCAAAGTAAGAATCGCACATGAAGTAGAGAGTATACGACTTCTCTCCGGGTTCAGTTGGTACTGCAAACTCCAGCTTCACCTTCGCCTTCCGTTGCAGAGAGATTTTCTTGATGGCCATCAACTGGTTCGTCTTGATCTCTCCAACGACTAGCCACCAACCTTCTTCTTTAGTCTTGGGATATCTTGGTGCGTTCACAGGTCCCACCTCAGTCCTTCCCTCCATATCTCTCTCCAACATTACCTGCAATGTGATCTCTTTTCCAGGGCTTACCTCGTTGCTCCCCACAATTTCATATGTAAGGTCAATGTTCGGGAAGCGGTTGCAGAACCTGGCAATGTCAAGAAGCTGAGCGTCTGACATTTGGAGAAGCTCTTGGCGTTTGTTGTCTTCCATTTCTAAAAGATCATATACGGTTTCAATGTTATTCCCCGGATTCTCTTGGCACCTTTTGGCTAAGTCCTTTGTGAAGTGAGGAAGCTGCAGAAGTATGGAGTCTCGATCCCACATGCCTTGTGTCACCATCTGGCTTACTTCCATAGCTAACAGAGCAAGATTCAGACAGCCATTGTTTGATATCACATCGACCATTGCTTGCAGAAGTCTTGTTGCAGATAAGAGGACCTCATGCTGATCCATTGCCAGGTTTCCGCTGAGATTTTGCCTTGAAAAATGCGCCTGAAGAAGCGCATTTGCCTTCACATGAGGGTCTGTACATATCGGATTGTCAAAAGAGAACCTCTGGTGATTGATGAGTCTCCGAACTGCGTCCTCTTCACCAGGACGTATAGGAGTTAAGTCGTACTCTGAAGCTGAAGTCAAGATCTCAATAAGACCCTTCATCTTTGTCTTGGAAGCCAAGAGAGAACTGAATCGCTCAATGGTGGTGTAATTGATGTAATAGTATGAAGCAATGATACCAAGATTAAGAGGAGAGAGATCCAACTCATTTTCTATTTCAATGCATTTACTCACTTCAAGATCAGACAAAGTGTTTTCAACAAGCTCTGAGAGGTGATCAGATAAATGCCTGTGGGTCACTCCCTGGAGATTGTAGTAGTTCGGGTTCTGGGGAAGCCTCCTGTACATGAAGCTCCAAGTAAGATAATCCACAGCATTTTGCTTGTTCTCAATAACTCCAGCATCCACTTCTGCATTGAAATTATCATGCAAGAAATGTTGAAAATGACTCTCAACCGGAATGGCTTCATACAGATATTTCTTGTAATACTCTTTACGCGATGCATGACAGAAGATCACACACTTTCCAGCATCATCAAGCAGAGGACGGCTACCACGCCCCATCATCTGGAGCAGATCAGAGATGGGGTAATCCGGATGAGAATTTTCCCGTCCATCATACAATTGTGTGCCCATTACAACAATCAAATGCGCCTTCAATGGAGTACCCCAACACAATGAACTAGACATCACACATACCTGAATCCGTCCCGCTTCAAAAAGCTGAGTCACAATCTCCTGATCAGTACTGCTTAAACCCTCATGTAAGTAGCCAACACCATGGCGCAAAGTCTCCTTTAGAGTTTCCTCACAAATTTGGCTAACAAAAGGCTCTAGTTCTTCCAGCTTCCCTAACAGGAACTCAGGGCTCTGCATGTTGTCCACGTGCGAGTATGCTATCAGATCTACAGCAGTAATGCGGACATGTTTACGGGTCGGGACAAAAACGATAGCTGGTTTCTTGTTCTTGGCATGCTGGACTATGGCAGTGTATGTTGGCTTAGTCATCGCCTGCACCCTGGCTTCAAAACTCAATATATCCACCCCTTGAATGTGGATCTCCAGTGGAACAGGGCGAATATTTGGCGGAAAGTTGAAAAGGCCACATGAACTGGCCCCAACCCACTCCCCAAGATCTTTGGCATTTGCAACGGAAGTTGATAATGCAACAATCCTCATCTTGTTCCCGACCTGACTTGAAATATATCTCATCCTAGAGACAATTACCTCCAATACAGGACCACCCTGACCCCCAATTAAATGAAGCTCATCAACGATAAACAAACTAACATGCTGAATATATTTTCTCTTTTTCCACCTTCGAGACAGAGCGTCCCATTTCTCAGGAGTACTTATAATTATCTGACCTTTCTCAAGCAGCGTAAGATCCAATGCTGTCTCCCCTGTTAACATAACAACCGGTAAACCAAGCCCCTTTCCGAACTTTCTTTCCCAATCACAAAACCGCTCCTTGGCAATAGCCTCAAGAGGTGCGATATAAACAACACGCATCGTAGACTCAGGTACTTCAAGATGATTCCTCAATATAGCAAACTCCGCACATATGGTCTTTCCACTTCCTGTAGGCGCAGCAACTAATACATTGTCACTTGTGTTATACAAAACAGTAAAGACCTGAGTCTGCACTGGATTGAAATGCTTGAAATCCTGATACAAAGATTCATAAGAAGGATTCCTTAAGGCCATCACCGGGAGGGGCTGCAAGTCCAGTAGCTCCGTAGGTGGTGGATACTTTTCTGGAAGAATAAGATACCTGAAAGATATAGGAAACACAGTCGGCGAGTCAAGCCATTTGTCCGAAACCACTCGAATGAAATACTGTGGGGGAACTGGCTCAGAGATTGGCACAGTGAAGTTCAACGTGTGGTCTTTATCAATATACAGCTTTTTCAGAAGAAAATACTCATAATGAAAGATCTTTTCACCATCATTATCTTCCAAAATTATCCAAAATGGTTCATCATATTGATGCAATTTGTCATTCCACTGAAAATCAGGTGTCACCGTGAGCTCGACTTGCAGAACAGAACGAGAAATTGGCTGAACATGGGCTCTAAGATTCAGTTTTGGGAACTGATGGACGAACTTGTGAAGTTGTCTGCCCATTTTAGGATTACGAATTAGCTCTCCTAGCTCATGTGAAGATAGATCATAGTACCTCTCCCACACCATATCGTTCTTCTCCAACTTCGTCAGAATCTCCTCTGAAATTTGATGAAACTGCCGGAGGGGTGTCTGAACACTCCACATCCTCTTCCCTACCATTTTAGACAAGCTCAGAGCTTTTTCAGACAGTTGAGCCCACCCCCTCTTCAAAACAATCTCAAAAATAGCACGTAGGAGACGTCCAGCACTCTGGGTAATATACACCATGTCAGATGTCAAAGAAAGACCCTCGAGATTTAGTTTTGATATATAAACTTGCAACAAAACATTGATCTTTGCATTAGGATCTTCTAATGTTTCCTTGACCGGTATCGGTACACGTTCCATAAGTTTTGCCAGTTCCATCTTCTCGTCTTGCCGAACAGTGACATACTTGAACTCCTCACTCAGTGAAAACAGACGAAAAAGATCAATATCAGTCATTGTTGGCTTCAAATTCTCATTATATGTAGCTATTGTTCCATGGGTTATGTAGTAGTAGCTTGCAATGCGCCCCAAATCAGTAACCTGGAAGAATCCACTTTTCTTGTCATACTTAATCAGGTTGTTCTTGTCCAAGATAGTAGCAGCAGAATGTATTAGGTCAGCTCTTTTCTCCTCTAATAATAAGTCTTTTGCAAGGGCATCAGGCGGTAAGCCATACAGTGTCGGATTACGAACCATGCGGATGTATAAATATGTATAGCCAAGCCAGTGGCAAGCTTCTCTAGCATTCTGAACCGTCCCAAGCACAATTTCAGCATTGAGCTGATCAGCAAGTTTGGAGATAAACTGGCTTTCAATTGGTAATTGCTCATTCATCAAACGAAGATAATACTGCAGCTCGCTGTATCCAGTGATTATAATTCCCTCCCCACGTTGGTCATATTGAGGTCTCCCGGCACGACCAATCATCTGCATAACATCTAGAGGACTCAGCTCCATCCACGCCCCTCTCTCAGGATTATAGACTTGGGTTCCTTTGATAATGACAGTATGCGCAGGCAAATTCACACCCCAGGCAAGAGTTGCAGTGGAAACCAGCACTTGCAAATTCCCTAAACGAAATTGTTTCTCAACTATGTGACGATCACCCAATGTCAACCCAGCATGATGAATTGCAAAACCATAAGGCATTAACTCTTTCAGGTCAGTATTCTTGAGAAGTGCAACCTGACTCTGAAGAATTTCATAACTTTGACTATCTTCCTTCAAGAATCTGCTGAGGGTATTATTTGCCATTGCAGTGTCCCTTATTGCTCTTGCAGTTTTTGCTGTTTCCTTCCTCGAATGGACAAAAATAAGGACCTGATGTTTTCCAGCACCAGCTAATACTTTCTGGTAACATATATCATTCATCAATTGAAACCTCCGCCACGGTTTTTTCACATTAATTCCTATATACTGCTGCTCCAGAGGCACAGGTCTGTAGCTGCGGTCAAATTTAAACAACCCATTTTTCAGATCCACCCGCAAAAATAACGCCACATCTTCATCATTTGGCAGTGTTGCCGATAAACCCACCAGACGAATATGCTCCTTTGTGGTTTCAATCTGCCGAAGCGTCCTAGCAACTATACTCTCAACTACAGGCCCTCGATTGTCATTAAGAAGATGAATTTCGTCAATTATAATAAGCCTCACAAGCTGAGTATAAGTTCGATCTCCCGATTTCCTGGTGACAATATCCCACTTCTCTGGCGTTGTAACAATGATCTGAGTCTCTTTGATTTCATGCCCACTAAGGGACTGATCCCCACTGAGTTCCTTCACAGTAACTCCATAATCCTTTAAGCGTTCAGATAGATTATCCACAACCTCAGTAACGAGGGCTTTCATAGGTGCAACATAGATAATTTTGTAATTCCCATGATTAAATGTTCCATCTGGATTCATATTCAGTGCAAGCTGGTGCAGTATGGTGAGCACAGCAACATTGGTCTTCCCTGCACCAGTTGGAGCACAAAGAAGAATGTTCTCTGCCTTAAAAAGAGCAGTGCCATACACTTTGCTCTGAACCCTGTTCAACTGCTGCATTCCCCTAAAAGCCGGTTGGGCCCAATCTGGCATTTCGCTTATTTTCACAAGCTTTTCATTACTATCAAACTTTTTAGAAACCCATGGCACATGAACCTCATCATATTCCTTGCCACGAATTCTGCAAGAGCGATCGGGAAGCTCACACTTCTTATTCTCCCTCATGAAACCACCTTGGTTAAAAGCAAGGCTCTCCAGGTCCAGTACCCGACGCTGACTCTTCAACCAACCATTCTCTATATCGCTATCAACATCAACATCTCTCATGCTTCTGTATCCATCACCACCAGAATCATCATCCATAAGATGTAGAGCTTCTTCTTTGATATCTTTCTCCCGTTTCTCCTCCCTTTCTTTGGCTGTTGCTCTTTTTACATGCAACTCTTCTACAATAGCTGCCAACTCTGGGCCCAACCCCATCATCTTCTCCTCAATATGATTCCTCTCATTCTGGTCTCTTGCCCTAGCCAAGCGAGTGCACCACACAACTTTCAGACGGTTTTGCAGCAGAAATTTAGCAAGGTTGAACTTTTCAAACTGAAGTTGCTCAAGTAGCTTGATCTCAACATCCCTATCATTACCCTCAGCAAGTATATTAAGCAACTCTTGTGCGAGTTTATGGCACTCTTGTGCATCCATCTTCTGTCCATATTCTTGAGATATCTTTCTCTGGAGCCAATATGCATCAATGTCCTGAACATTAAGACTTGTTCCCTCCTTTGCATGTCTAGTATCCTTACCGTTAGTTGCCACACCCACCTGGTCGCCTCCAGTTTCATTAGGTTCAACAGCGTCTTCATCCTCTTCCTCGTGTTCCTCCTGGACCATATCAAGATCACTCTCCTCATCATCTTCTTTAAATTCAAGAGCCACACCCACATCATCATAATCAAGTCCTTGATCGTCACAAGCTTTGCCACTTAAAGAATCACCACAGTCTTGATAGTCTGTAATCAGTTTTCCAATCGAAACAAACTGATTGAAAACATGATTAGAAATAACGTTTAGCAGTTTCTCAATCTCTATCTTTTTTTCATGGCATTTGACGGAATCGTTCTTGAGAATAGCCAAAATCTCATCAGCCGCACCACAAACAATATCCAGAGGCTGCCCACCCAATTGCTGCTGAATAAGAGTAAGCATGATCTCAAAAGCAGCCCTCGTCTCCTTAGTCTTGGGCAAATAAACGCCATCATCTGTATCAGTAAGCACGCTCACCTCCCTGAGACGACGTCTCTTGCTCTCACGAAGAGATACCACAGCAACATCACGCTCCTTCTTCTTCTTCTTCGATTTGTTCAGCCTCTCATATACCTCATGAGGCTTCCCCTTAGCAACGCGATCTCCGAAGGACTTAGGATTAATCCTTCCTCTCAGGCTCTCTGGTTCTCCAGAAGGTTGATGCATATCACGACGACCCTCATCGCTGTTAAGAACCAGACTGGAATTGGCTTTGTACCCGTACTGCTTCAACCTCGCTTGTTCCTCCGCACCACCGCCACCCGAACTCGCCATCACCAAATCGGAAATAGAAACCCCAAAATTCAAAAAATCAAAACAATGAAACAAAACAGAGAAACCGGAACCAAAAACCTCTTCTCTTACCTTTCACGTTCGTCGCTTCTTTCGAATTTTGTGTTAATGGAAAGAATGAATATTAGAGGCACGGATTTGGAACATTAAAAAGACAAAAGTCGAAACCGACTATACATATGTCGGTTAAATTGTCCAAATGCAAAGGCCCATACGACTGTAATTAAATTGTGGGATTCTCCGGTTCGGTCGGTGGAACTGTAAATAGAAGAAACAACTGCGTAATTAAAGGTGATTATTATTGGTCAGTGTTACCGGAGATTATCATAGCAAAACCACGCCGGTTATCTAGCAGTGAAACGGTGAGGATTGGATCATGAAAGCAAGGCGAACGTAAAACTTAAATGGTCTCTAGAAAGAATTGGGCCCTAAAGCCCAGTATTATTGAGAAGGGCAAAATCGTAATCTTGGAAGAATTTGACGAATTGTGTAGTTCGAAAAAAACGAAAAATTAATCCCGCCTGAGATGAAAATTCAAAACATTTCCACACAGGTGAAAACTGAAAACTCTGAGACACGTGCGAGGTCGAAAATTTTCATTTTCAATTATAAAACCCGCCTAGAAGATGGTCTCGAATTTTTTGCCAGATCGTCTCTCTCTGAAAAGCTCTGCTCTCTTTTTCCCCTTTGTCCCCTCCACTTTACTGTTCACGAAGCCGCCCGGAGCTTTCACGAAGGAATCTATCAAAGATTCATATAGGTAAAATACAAAAAAATCCATGTTTTGATTTTGTCGCCAGTTTGATGCTGTTCTTGATGAAACTCTAGAATTAGGTTTTTTGGTCATGTGACTGAGATTTGATTCTCCATTTCTTGGTGTTTCTGGAGTTAGAGAGCATCTGGTTACAATGGAGAGTTCTTATTTGAAACACTGTGGTTGTTGACATCGTCAATTTTGTAATTTCATTCTTGGGTGTGGTTCTGATGGTTTCGTTTCTTCGATTGTAACGCAGTGCCGAATCACAATGCCAGAAGCAAGAGACCGAATAGAGAGACCAGTTGATTACCCAGCCGCGTTTCTCAACAGACGCTCGAATGGCGTTTTACTTGACGAACCAGCGACGCAGCACAGTTTGTTTGGGTCTCCGGTTCAGAGAGTGCCGCCGGAAGCGACAGGACTTGGGTCAATTGGTCAAGGATCTATGACGGGAAGAGGTGGGCTTGTGAGGGGCAATTTCGGTATTCGGCGGACTGGTGGTGGTAGAAGAGGTCAAATTCAATTTAGATCGCCGCAGGGACGAGAGAACACTAGCTTGGGTGTTACGAGGCGTGGAAGGGCTCGTGCTGCAACTTCTGTGTTGCCTTCTTGGTACCCAAGGACCCCCCTCCGTGATGTTTCTTCTGTTGTTAGGGTGAGTTACACTTAACCCTGTTTCGTTTTGATTTTGTCTGCTGATTCTTGGATTTCATTGGAGTTTTCTTTTTCTTTTTCATTGGTTAATAGCCAATTTGATCTGTTTATCTCTGGTTTGGGATTTGTGTCTTGGTTCAGAATATTCTCATGAATATAAGTAGACTGTTGGACAATGGTAGATAGATTGGTGAAACAAAGTAATATTCTCATGTTTGCAACTATTACCCTTATAATGAACCCATCTCTGATTTGGTTTGCACATGGAGAATTGGAATCTGAGGCTAGTGAGCTTGATTAGTCTTTGGCTCATAACATAAGTATATCATAAACTGTTGCCAAAAAGCTTGCTTGGTCTGGCTATTTATTCTAAGTACGAACTTCTTTTTGCAGGCTATTGAGAGAAGGAGAGCTCGTATGGGAGAAGGCGTTGGCCGAGATATCGAGACCCCAACTCCACAACAGCTTGGGGTTCTTGATTCTCTAGTACCACTGTCAGGTGCTCAGCTCGAGCACGACTACTCCATGGTCACTCCTGGTCCATCTGTTGGGTTCAAGCGTCCCTGGCCACCCTCAACTGCTAAAGTCCATCAGATTCTCCTCGATATCACAAGAGAGAATACAGGTGAAGAAGATGCCCTCACTCCACAGAAGAAGCTCCTCAACTCTATTGATAAAGTGGAGAAAGTTGTGATGGAAGAGATTCAGAAAATGAAGAGCACTCCTAGTGCTAAGAGAGCAGAAAGGGAAAAAAGGGTTCGGACGTTAATGTCGATGCGATGATATCCCCATTTCATACTCTGAAAGATGACATTAGGAATCAGGAAATAAAGGTGCCTGCACAGTGAGTACATCATCTTCTGATGATATCAAAGAGAGGTGGATCAAAAAAAAAAAAAAAAAAAGAGAGGTGGATCATATACTGGTGATATCTTCAGGAGCGTGTGGATTTGTTAAGACTTTTGGGTATCATTGCTCTGATGATATACTACTGGAAAGGGGTCAATCATCACTCTGATGGTCTATTAGGGAGCTTCTATCATTTTTCTGATGATAAAACATAGTAAGAGATTCATCTTCTGATGATAATATCATTAGGGAGATAACTGTTAGATAGTTCACGGGTTGTTTGTTGGAAACCTTTTTTGTTTTTAGGTCTTTTGTAATTTCGGTCAATAGAGATGTATGATGATATCTTCTTGATTCAAGTAAACAGATTGTACAGACGTTTTCACGTTTGGTTTTGTTGGCCTGAGATTTCTTGAGTATCTGTAGTTGTCACAATTTGGGGAATGACTTCTATATAGAAAATTCATTGAATTTAATATTTTTTCCATATATGTTACGTCACAGCACATAATTTGGTAAAAGGTCACATCTGTTGTTTGTTTTCTTTACAATGAGCATCTAATTAACAAGATTCGTCAGTGTCTGGGTACAAAACTATAAATACAAGCACACTAAAACAATTGACATGAAACCTGCGATGGATCTAGAACTAAACACCATTCTTATCTTCATCACATCCTTCGTTTTTGCATTCATGCTCTATGCTCTCTTCAAATGGTTCTTGACGAAGCAAGATTCAATGGGTGCTACGAACCTGCCATACAGCCCCTTAGCTTTACCATTCATTGGTCACCTTCATTTGATTGGCAAAGTATTGCCTGTCTCGTTTCAGAATCTAGCTCGCAAGTATGGCCCGCTCATGGAGATACGCCTCGGTGCTTCTAAGTGCGTTGTGGTCTCAAGCTCTTCGGTGGCGAGAGAGATTTTCAAGGAGCAAGAGCTGAATTTCTCCTCGAGACCTGAGTTTGGTTCTGCTGAGTATTTCAAGTATAGAGGGTCCAGATTTGTCCTTGCGCAGTATGGAGATTACTGGAGGTTCATGAAAAAGCTGTGCATGACTAAGCTTCTTGCTGTTCCACAGCTGGAGAAATTTGCTGACATCCGTGAGGAGGAGAAAGTGAAACTGGTTGAGTCTGTGGCTAAGTGTTGCAGAGAAGGGTTGCCTTGTGACTTGAGTAGTCAGTTCATAAAATACACCAACAATGTAATCTGCAGGATGGCGATGAGCACAAGGTGTTCAGGTACTGATAATGAAGCAGAAGAGATAAGGAAGCTGGTGAAGACATGTTTGGAGCTTGCGGGGAAGATCAGTGTAGGAGATGTGTTGGGGCCATTGAAAATACTGGATTTTTCTGGGAACGGGAAGAGGTTAGTGGCCGTAATGGAAAAATATGACCTGCTTGTAGAGAGGATTATGAAGGAACGTGAGGCAAAGGCGACAAAGAAAGATGGTACCAGAAAGGATATTTTGGATATATTGTTGGAAACGTACAGAGACCCCACTGCTGAAATGAAGCTAACGAGGAATGACATGAAATCTTTCCTGCTGGTATGTTTCCTCTCACCTGCCAATAGAATCCAATTATTCATTTGATTATTCTAATATAAAACTGTGTTGCATGAATTTTCTTTAGGATGTTTTTATGGCGGGAACAGATACATCAGCAGCAGCAATGCAGTGGGCAATGGGACAACTAATAAACCATCCACAAGCGTTCAACAGGTTAAGAGAAGAGATCAATACCGTTGTTGGAAGTAAAAGACTGGTCAAAGAATCAGACGTTCCTAACCTCCCTTACCTCCGAGCTGTCCTAAGGGAAACTCTAAGGCTACACCCTTCAGCTCCTCTGATCATAAGAGAATGTGCAGAAGACTGCCAGGTGAACGGGTGCCTTGTCAAGTCAAAAACCCGCGTACTCGTTAATGTCTATGCAATTATGCGAGATTCAGAATTATGGAAGGATGCAGACAGATTCATCCCTGAGAGATTTCTAGAGAGCTCTGAAGAGAAGATAGGTGAACATCAGATGGAGTTCAAGGGCCAGAATTTCCGTTACCTTCCATTTGGGAGTGGAAGAAGAGGATGTCCAGGAGCATCCCTTGCCATGAATGTGATGCATATAGGTGTGGGTTCATTGGTGCAGCGGTTCGACTGGAAGAGTGTTGATGGACAGACGGTCAATCTGAGCCAAGGTTCTGGTTTTTCTGCTGAGATGGCTCGACCACTTGTGTGCAACCCTGTGGATCACTTTAATACCTTCTAAGTGCTTTTGTACCGCTAGATGTTACCTGTTTTTAACCCAAGAAGTATATGCATAAAAGAACCATGGTTCTGTATTATTTCAAGGCTCTTACATAAAACTTGCTCTCCGATAATGGTTCTTTAAATCAATATGATAAATAATACATCTGCGTACTGTAACTATACATGCATGTAGCAAAGTTCACTACCTATGCCGTCTTGGCATAACATTCTACTTTATCTTTATGAATCAGAGCATAATCAATTTTAACACTAATCAATCTTCTTACGCATACCCATCCGTGAACGAGCATATCTGATATTGCTTGTTAAGTCAGTTTCTGGGATAGCGGTAAAATCCCACGAGGAAAAAAAAACATAGAAGTAAATGGGTATAGTAGTGAAGGATACTGCAGCCTCAAACCCTCCCCAGTGAGGGATGAGTAAAGCACTGTGCCTTGAAGAGTATGCAGTGCTTCACTTGAGCAACTGATGTCCTACAAAAGCCACATATCAAAGAAAACATGTCAGAGTCAATTCACTCTTTAAGCAAAATAGGTATCGATCTCTTTCAGAAAAAGGTATTGCTAGGGCTGTACCTGGAAATCAACAAATGCAACAGGAGTGCCATATGTACCCTGAATCTTCAATTTCAAGAAGCCCCGGCATCTGACAAGAAAAAGAGTGAAAACTATCTCTACTGGTTACAGTTTTGCGTGGAGCAGAGAGTATTATTACCTCGAGAAAACTTGAACTAGCTCAGCTTCAGTGCAATTTGGTCCCATATTCGCTAAGAAAAGTGTAGGACAAGGATCTGCCACATTAGTATTCTGTCAAAAGAAGAAAGATTGCCATATCAACTGGTAATAAATAGTTTTCCTCACTGTTTTTTGTCCAAACAGAACAATATATCATATGAAAGTACAAAAGAGGCAGAAGCTTACAGATTTTCCAGTAGTCGGTGCCCTCCTAACAACATTAGCAATTCCTTGACTGAACGAGCAAAAAGAATATAGTGAGACACTGAGTATCCTGAGCTAATAGCTAAGAAAGAATAAGCTCTTTCATATCCAGGGCATGGGGGCTAGGACCAGTTCAGCTAAGCCTTAAGTAAGTTAGATTTCGGGGAAGAGATACAAGAAAAGTGTGTGCAACAAAGAAACATAATCTAAGCATTCATAAGTAACCAAAAAAATGTGCTCAAGTAGTGCCGATGACCTTTGTGTATGTGAATAACCAATTGTGTTGTAAGCAGAACTACTCATTCCAGGAGTGTGAAAGCTGCCAAAACCTGGTAGTGCCCAAACGCAGAAACGTGAAATCATGTTGACGGCAATACTAGCCCAAGTGTGAAATCTTAAACTAAATAGAGCTAACATGCATGAGTGTGGGGATCATGGAGATTGTAACGATAAATACAATACACATATTCAGATACAAGAAACATAAATACACAAGGCCACAAGAAGCCCCAAGATGAAGGTTTGTGCCAATGGTCTTACCAGACTCAGTAGTTGTCCTCCAAGACTTGGGTTTTTTCAAGCTTTGCCAACCATCGTCTATCACATCACAAATACAAAATGAACACTTAAGCGAAGATCAAACTTTTATTGAGCTACCGAACAGAAAGTATTCCACTACTTGCCTGTTCTTGTTCGCTTAGATTTGGGGTTTGATTTGGCAAGATCAATGTGAAGAGTAGAATGATTTTCAAGATCAAATACCATTCCCTGAAAGGAAATAAATAAGATAAAGATAGCTTAAAGGCCTTCATAACTAAATTTCTAAATTTTTCTTAGTCCAGTCTAAAGTAAATGGCAAAATCTTATTCGTTCGCGCCAAAACCATTCAACCAGCTATCTATTTTTATAAACTGAAACGATTTCAAGTTACTTAGGGTGAATAAGAGCAACCAGAAAGACACTAAATGTACTAATACAAAACCCAAATTTTCATTATTTCCGGCAACACATTAGCTTCAGAGACATTTCTTAAGCTTTCTGAAGGACTTAAAATATCCAGCAATATCCCGGAATCAATCGTTCACATATGTAGAAACAGCGGCCAGAAATTGAAACAGCAAGTTCCGAGGAAACTCACATTGAGAGCATGCATCACCGCTACAGCTGATTGCAGATCCGAGAACACAGCAAATGCGAAGGGCTACCAAAACAAATACAGTACGATTCTCAATTTCTTCATCAGAAATCATCCAATCATCCCTACCCAAAATTAAAAAAAACCGAACAAAGGATTACCTTAGCTCCGTCTGAGCTCCGAAGATGCGAAGTCTCGTATCCTGGGAACTCTCGAAAGAGATTATAGATCTCCCGGGGCTTGACATCTTCAGGAAGTCCAGCAACGAAAAGCGTACGAACCTCATCGCGAGCTCCGATTGAGGCGTGTGTAGGCAAATAGACGGAATGAGCTGGAGTAATTGAAATCGGAGCCACTCCCAACGGCAGAGGAGGAATGCTCGCCGGTAGACTGTAGTGAGAGTAGTAAGCAGCCAAATCATCCATTGAATTAATCTAGTCGCCCCGGTTGAAACTGAGTCGGAGTTTTGCAACGGAGAGGAAGAAACTAAATTTATCGAAGTGTTCCTTAATGGGCCATGAAAACCCATTTAAATTTCAAACATCGGCCTTTTTGACCCATTATTCATCGGGAGGCGTATGATAATAGCATGTGGTTGCACACACTGTAACATAACACTATCTCTCTTGTCTCTTCTTCTCGATGACAAAAAATTTCTATGTTGAAAGATCTGCAACTTCCCTCACAACTGTTCTCTTTCTCGCTTTCTCTGGTTTGAGGCATAATGACGGAAGAACTCATCGACCAATCACCACCACCTGACCCAGACCCGATTCAGAGTCCGAACCCGATTGCGAATTCGAATCCTATCATCCACCCGAGACGTGTGCCTTTCGAGCACGGCCTTATTCCGATCCAGAAGCTCGTTTTTACCGACCCAATTCAAACTCTAGCTCCGATCAAGCAAAAGTTAGCTGCTTCCGCGACGAATAATCGCGTTGGATCTGCTGCCATTTCCGATGCACTTTTGATCTCCGGTGATCAGGCGCGTCTCGTTCTCGAAACTCTCGGTTCTGTGTTACATTGCGAGACTGATCCTCTGGTTCTGGCCAAACCTGAGGAAGTTGATTCGATTGGAGCTGATTTGAGGGATCTGGTTTTGTTTCTCTACATTCAATCGTATAAGAAGTTGCAGCCTAGAACGCATAAGGACGCTGCATCTGTAGCTGATGTTTGGCCATCGACTTCTGCTTTTGATGGATACTTGTCGGCATTATCGCCAATTCAGGCAAGTTTTACATTCTCTTAATTATGTAATGTGGCTCAAAAAAATGTTTCCTTGTGATCTATTTGGTAAGGAAAGTATATTGAAAACGTAATGGTTCTATTAACTAAGCGAGAAAGTTTCTTTTAAAACAAAACAAAAAAAAAAATTGCATTGGATTATACTAGATTTTGCAATGCAAGTTTAGAAATTTAGAGACACTAGATTTAGCGACGTTAGCACTATGCAGTGTTGAAGAACTAAAATCGAATGGGGGCGGGTGTAGTTTGTCTAAGTGATCGTTATAATTTTTAAGCCGAGAAGATGCTCGTTGTGGTCTTTCCTGTAATTGGGCTTATTTTGTTAAAAATGTGGTGAGTAGTCCGATGAGGTGTTGGTTTAAAGATTGACTGCAAAAAGACTATGAGTATGAGAAAATTGTATTCTAACTCTTGGTTTACGAAACACCCACACATACTCACATATTTTTTGCTTTATGTAAGTATGTGTTCAAAATGGTGCTTTTTAATAGCGTTTTGTTTGGGTACCTATTCCTTTTATCTCCGCCTAAATTTGGTACCATTTCTTTGATAACTATGGAGCAATGTTAAGTTCATATATTGATGCCAAAAAATTGCCACTTTACTGTGATTTGTGTGGGTTTGAGTCTGTTTCTCTTTTCATTGTTCCTTATTTTGATTGGTGCTTCCGTGTCTCCATTTGGTGATAATGTGGGGTGTATTCTGGTATGTTTGGCCGTAGTCTCTAGTTGGGTGACATTCTTACTGACCCTTTATGAAATGGCTTGTCTGGGCTTTGATATATTTTAGCGATAATTGTTCTCACTTATGATTCTATCATATGTGTTGAGAAACCTTGTTGCTGATGTAGTTTAAATTAATTACTTTTCATCATCTTGCAGCTTGTTCGTAGCAACAGCCGTCGGTTTATGCCATCACCGGCAGATGAAGAAACTCATCAATTATCGTATCTGCAAAAGCACATAACTAATATTATTTCTCTCCTTTCAGAGCCTGTGGAGGGAGAAGGAGATGAATCTTTGGTATGTGCTAACCTTTTTATACCTCATTCGGGAAGGAATAACTGTTTGTATTGGATAGATATAGAAACTTATGTTGGAATACAAGTATTGTGGGAAATAAAAAGAACGAATATCTCATGCTAGATGGTCCGAATCTCCTCCTCAGGTCCTATCTATGGAAAGTTTTGAGCACATTGGGTTTCTTGTACATTATGGTGACAAGGGATCTAATGTACCTTCTTTAAGCCAAGCTACTCCATTTTTTTCGAATTCTGATCCTGATATGCCCGCTGTCCCCGTTCCTGCTTCCCAAGTGAATGATTGGCTTCTGAAAGACATATCGTCTGCCTTAGAGAGCATTTCTGACAGGATTTCTGGGAAAGAAAATGTCTCTGATCAAGATGCTGCAATGGCAGATTCAAGTGTACCTCTTAATAAACTTTCATCGAACGACAGAGGTCCGTTTATTATTGAGGGAGTCTCTAAGACTTCACTTTTCAAGCAGGCTTCCGATCTTAAGGGTAGATCAGTAAAGGTCCGCATTGAACAACTAATTTGCATTATAATCAGCAGTCATTCACATTTTGTAGTTGTAGAATTCTTCATTCCGTTTCTTTCACTCATGTATGCACGTCAATTATATGTTTTGTGTAATTTGCAGGTTGCCAATTGTCATGATTCTGTCATTTATCTGTTAACGCCATTGAGATATGCAACTGTGTATGGATGTTCTGATTCTACTATCGTTCTGGGAGCTGCTGGCAAGGTACTTCAAATCTACATCTTCCTGCTTTAGTCTTTGTTAGCGAGGTTCAGGTTAGAAGATTCATTGAGAATATTTTATATTCTATGCAGGCAGTAAGAGTTGAGCATTGTGAGAGAGTTCATGTGATCGCATCGACGAAACGAATCTGCATCTCCAGTTGCCGTGAATGTGTGTTCTTTTTAGGAGTCAATCAGCGACCTCTTATTGTTGGTGACAACCACAAACTACAGGTGATGTATCTCTTTAAGATTGAGGGTTTAACCAGAAGTTTTATATCGGGATATTCTAGGTTATATCTTTTCTGTGTTAACAGCCTGGTATACTCATGATCATATTAATGGTTCATGGTGATTGGAAAATTGAACATGCTGTTAGAGTCACTTCTTAAGTGGAATTCTGATGTATTGTCTGTAACTGTTGGCATCAATATGACTTTAATCTGTTCCAGGTTGCTCCATATAATACATTTTACTCACACTTGGAGGAGCACATGACCGAGGTTGGAATTGAGCCAACTATCAACAAGTGGAATGAATCCTTGGCACTGGGAGCAGTTGATCCGCATGATTCACTTTCACATCCTACTGGTGCCTCTGATAAACAATCTGAACCGGCTTCATGTGTGGACCCTGACCAGTTCACTAACTTTTTGGTAAGATTCCCCTTCTTGTTATTTTAATTTTCCTGTAATAACTAGTGATGTTGGTTACTAAGATTGTGATCATGGGTTAATTTCTCATATGAATGTCTCTTGTTCAGATCCCAAACTGGTTTGCGGGCGAGGCAGTTGGTACAACGAAAGACAATCCATTTCCGTTGCCAAATGCATATAAGGCAGTGCAGCAGACAAACGTATGTTTTTTGCTCTTCCGTATAAATTTGCTCGTTTGTATTTCATCCATCTCTCAATATCTGATCCCGTAACTGTGTTTTGGTTTCGAGCAGCTTAAGAACTTGGAAGAAACAAGGCAATCCTTAAGAGAAACACCTCTTGAAGAAAACCGAAAACGAGAACTTACTACAGCGTTCCACATCCATTTCAAAGACTGGCTTTACGGTAATCAAATCAAATCCCTATTCTAGTACATTTGCTCCACTGGTAATCCAATGATCCATATGTATCTGCTTCTTTGCTGACAGCAACGGGAAATATTCGGCAACTCTACTGCCTACAAGGCGACTAAAGACCAATGACGTTGGAGGATGTCACAGTCACTGTAGAGTTCTCTTAATCCCTTGTTCCTCAGAGATTGCTAGCACATTTGACATCAGAACTTAACTGCACAGCACGCTCTCTAACACCTAAAACTTGTTTTATTGTGTAGGGTTTTCTCTCTGCTTTGATCATATTTATTAGTTTTATGTATCCATGTTTTTGTCCTTGAAAAATATTATGCGATCTTCTTTATTTAAAGTGTTGATTTCTTTCAATTATTATAAGCAGATAACAACTTTGCTCAATACCATAGATATAAATCCTTAATAACTACTTGGAATTTTAAAAATATGAGTTTCTTTTTCAATATTTTCTCTTAATCATCTACACATACAAAACAGGCTGAAACTGTGAAAACTGTCTCTGGATCAGTTGTTGTTTTGTCTTGTTTTAGCTTGGAGGAAACAGCTTCTCTGCTTGGTCCGGGAAGAACTGTATGAACAAATAAGCACCTGCAGGTTCAACAAAGTCCAATTCACAACCAAAAGAAAGGACCAAGCAACCTTCTCTATATTTTTCAAGTCTCTGGTAAATTTTACTTACAGACAAGCACTGTTCCTAAGACTGCAGAGATCTTGCCTTGAATTGTGATAAGCCCTGCTTTGCCTGCATTCTGCAACTCGGTTGAACCAACCGATTCAAATGTTCCTAAAAGACGTAACAGCCAGTAGATCCGATTCATCATCCTTCTGAAATCAAAATATCTCCAAAACCCCAAGAAATGATCTTGAGATGAAGCTAGATGGAATCAAACCTGGTTTTACAGATTGTAGCCCTGATGTTACACAAGCAATGTTTTCGTAACCTGCTTCCTCCAACCTATTAGCTGCAGCTGCGGATCTTTTCAAGATCGACAAAAGAAAGTTGAAATTTGTCTTGACACTACACTTGGTGATGCATGTTTCAGTGAATCCAGAGTTAGTTCTACTAACCTGAGACCTTCTTGGCAAACAATTAAAAGTTTTCTGTCTTGAGAAAACTCGTTTCTAACGGACTTGAGGAATTCCGGATTCATTTTCGTAAAAGGCAAACCAAAGAAGAGTCCTGAGAAATTGTTGTGCACTGTCCTCTTTATTATCGTGCCTGCAATTTTATTCAGACAAAAACCACTCAGAATTATAAGAATGCCAACAGTTTGTTCAAGTAAAGGTTCGAGTTCTTACCAATATCGTTGTCTTCGTTGTAAATGAAGAGAGGGATATGGGAGCAAGATTTTATATGAGCCCTCTCGAACTGAGTCTTGTCTCTTACATCCACCACCGAGTAACCTTCTTCAGCTATCAACTGCTTTGCTTCTTCTGCATTCACGAATTTCACCTCCGCCGCAATTCTGAAGTTTCTCCGGCGGATCACGTTCCCGGAGACACTCTTTCCCGCCCAGCTCACCGCTTTCAATCGCCTCCCACCGACATTACTACATCAGCAATTGAAACTGTTGAATTTATCTGATATATTCTCTTTGTTTTGGAGGAGAACACTCCAAGATTATTGAACATGGCTAATTTATCAAAAGGAATCAACTTTCAGCTGAGAAGACTCGTATTACCTGGTGAAATAAAGAGCCGTAGGGCTAGGGCTTATGATCCCCGCCATTGCTGCAGATGTCTCTGAAAGAAGAAGAAAAAACTCGTCACTGTGATGCGATAGTTAATTGGACAAGAGCCACTAGATTAGCCATACCACAAGGAAATTTAAGATAACCAATTATTTATTGCCACGTGTTCAGCTCTTCTTTTATATGTAGATCTCCAAATCCACTTCGTCTGATTATGATACATGTTTCATGCTTGTCAGTTATCATGTTCAAATCTATTATGGATTCAGAGATAAAGCAAGTAGCTTGAGATTAACATAAGCAAAATAAGAGTCTGATTACTGAAAGCTGAAACATTTGCAGACAAAGTTTACTTTTTTATTGTAGGAAACATTCAGACAAAAGATGTGAAAAAGTCACTCCCCAGAAAAACATGAGGAAACAAAAGCAAAGAGTTTGATGAATTCACATATCCAGATACAATTAACAAAAAGGAGCGCACACGGAAGAGATATTATCTCAAGAGCCCGGGATCAACAAATGCACATCTTATTAATTTCAGTCACCAAAAGAGAAATCAAGAATCAGCTTCAGCTCTTTTCTCTACGGTGTAAGGATAGTACTCTCTGCCAGTGTCTACTCTTGTGGTCTGACCTCCAGAGTCAATCAAAGCAGAGGTAACAGCTAGAGTTGCTCCTGCAGCTATGGCTGTGGGGATGCTCCTTGCTGCAAAAAAAAAAAAAAAAAAAACAAATGTCACCCCAGTATACCAGCTTACAATGGAGTTTAGCATCAAGTCACTCAAAACAAAGCTATGTACTTTCGATCTTTACATATACAAGATTTTGGGAGTCTCATGTACATACTCAATATTAAGTCTTGGCACTTATGGATATCATATAGATTTGCTACACTAGATACCGAATAACATTAACTTGAGGCAAGGAACGATTCAGTGGTTCCCAGACAAAAAGCAAATCTGACATTACTTCGTTACTCCCACTCAATATTGTTGTTTGTCCATAAATAACTACTTAGCTCCTAAAACCAATGAATGGAAGTACATACTGCTAGAACTATGAGACAAGAAGAAACATGATTACCTCTATAGCCAAGCACAGAAGCTCCAGCCACAAAACCACCAATGGCACCATTGTAAAAATCTCTCTTGGATCTAAAGTTCTGAACCAGCTGTTCAACTCCGATGTAAACGCCTCCAATGGCAGCAAAAGTCAGCCCGTGGATTCCCATCATCTTCACTGTTCTGATAAGCCCTGGGAGAGCCACATTTCTCTCCACTCTTGGAACATCTTTCCAAGTCGCTAAAATGGTTCCGTAAATCATCCCAGCACCAAAACCAGTGACACTACCTTTCATTGTCTTCATCATCGGACCATCCTCTTCTTCCAAATATCTCATTTCAGCTGGATCCATAATTCCTTCTACGGTTCTAGCTTATGCACACGAGTAAAACATTCATCAGCAAACACGATCATACGAAAAAATAAAATACAATAAAAATGTGAGTTTTGAATGCGAAATGTATTCGACGCGTATTTGAAGAAATTTCATCAAATTGAAGTTTTAAAGTCGAGGTCTTTACAAATTTAGCTATCAACCCATCACCAGATCGTCAATATCATCGGGCTTAGAAACCAAAAAAATCATATAGAGATACAATGGATTGAAGCGAAATACGAGATTTGGTTAATGTAAAAGCAGAACCCTAGTTTGTCAAGCTCATTAAGCTCGTCAAAGTCTTAATACAACGAAAAAAATTGGAACCAAAAACTGAAGAAATGAAGAATGATAGAACAAAACGAAGAGAGATCATTGAAGGATTCAGAATGGTCTAACCTTTGGAATTCGAAGAAGCGAGTGATGAGCGAATCAGTGGAGGAACTCAACGAGAGATGTTTCGTTGTTCTTCAGGAGGCGAGACGGTAGACCCAGGAAAAAAAAAAAAAAACCAATTAGCAGAATCTAACAGAAATTCATGTGGGCCTAGAGGCCCATTATTAAGCCCGTTTATGTTATTTAGGCCCATTATTAAGCCCGTTTATGTTATTCTCTCTAATCCCACTCGTTAGGTCTATGTAGCAAAGCTATGAGTCTGACTACCACCATGGAAGATGGAAAATGAAATATCTTTTAAAGAAAGGTCTCTGTCATCGTCTTACTGTTGCTGACAACAGATATTTATGAAGATAAGAATCGTAAGGCATAGCTCAGATGGTGGCTGATTTGAAAAGCTGCAATAGTTAAGGGTCTTCTGGTGTATGTATTAATAGTAATGTATATGGTTCAAGTTTTGATTATAATGTGAGGTTTCATTTGGAAACTAAGTCCAACAAAGGACAACTCTTTGAAGGTGAATGATTAGGGTAATGGGGAAAAAGCTCACTTTGTTAATAGATAGATCTCTGAGTCTAAATTAATTAGTTTTTAGATTGTTCAGTTTGAGCAAAGCTGAGGAATCAATTTATGGAACCCTGATGTGATGAAGAAAATCTTAATAATTCTGATGCTTGCTCAATCTTTGTTTCCTAAGTTAGAGAGATGAAACAAAACAAAGTAGCATAAAAATCAAAAGCCAGTATCTGGCAACAATTGTCTGGTTTATTAATAGCAGATAATAACATAAACAAAAATAGAGCAAAAGGTAACGATATTGCAGAATCGGTCATGGTACCATTGGAAAGAAGATTCTCTGATGCAAGGAGAAAGTCAGAGAGACCAGTTATTATGGTGAGAAGAAGAGTCATAGGCCCTTGTGTTCTGCTCATCTTCTATGTACTGCCTCCTACTTTGGTGATGGTGATCAGATAACTCGAACTCACCCATTGTCGTGCCATTGCTTATCTGACAATTATCTGGCTCGGTGAATCGACCCAAATTCAAAACAGGAGACATGTCACTATCATCGTCCTTAAACACCCAAGGCGGGTTGAGATACTGATGCTGGCCAGGTGCAGGTGGGGGCTGAGCCATTGTAACCGTCATCGGGCAAAAACCTGAAGAAGCTCGCCATGTGTTGTTGTTATTGTTGTTGTCCTGTGGCTGATGTGGATTTGACAGAAGAGAGAGAGCACAGTTTGAGTCGCCCATTCCCTTGTAGCTCTCTAGTTTAGTGTCCATAATCTCTGGAGATGAGAAGCTTGTCCCTCCTCCTCCAACTGAACCTTGACTAAAAACATTCATCGGACTGATCTGCCACGACGGTGCTGACACAGGTCGTCTCATCACTCTTGTATCCAGTGTTCTTGCACTTGTCCACCCCATGTCTTGGTTCCCAAGAAAGCTTCCATTCATTCCAGCATCAGCATTCCCTGTCCCATAACATGCAAGCATATATATCTTATAATGATACTTTAATCTCTCGCGCGTATTGGTCTTATGTCAAGCTAAAAAGATCTAACCGTAAAGTGATGGTGCAATCCTCCCGTAACGAGAAGATAGCACAGAGAGAGACGCAGGCTGTGGCTTCCTCCGGCGCTCATTATGGCCAGCGAGTCTCCTACGACAACTCCTTTTCTCTAGGTCAAATTCAGGGAGCTGATGAAACCTGTGTGTAGGATTGATACATATCGAGTTAACTTCAAAGAAAAGCAACATAACAGAAGAATACAAACACAAGACACTCCCTCCCCCCACGTTAACCACCGGTTCTATAAGTCATCATAAGCTTTCGTCATCAGTTTGAATAAGAATCTAAAACCAAACACTTGTAACAGAGTTCCTCAATGATCACGTCAATGATGCTACGGTACACAAAGTTTTGTCCCCCTCAATAATGATATGACCTAAAGAAGCAAAAATGAGGGCAATAGGTTTCTTCTTGTCCATTCATTTCATATCCCTTTGGATTAGATTATTTAAGATAGACAAAATCAAAAAAAAAAAATTCAAAAATCAGAAAAAGAGAAGCATCTAGAAGTACACGTAAACATATTCCCAAAAATAAGCCCAACGAGTCCAACAAACACAAGACCAGGTTGCAAAACTAAGCTGTAAAGTTCAAAAAATGAAAAATAAAAAGACGTTAAAGCCAAAAAAGCATATGACACTGACAATCACAAAAAGCTAAAGCCTTTAGATTTGATTCACAACAGTGGAACAAGGAGAGCCTTGGCCGGACTCTAATATCTCCGGCAATGGCAAAACACGTAAATAAACAATAGAGCTGAAGGGTAGAATTGGGATGATAAAAAAAAGAACCTGCTGCACTGTTGACAAAACCTCTGTTCGAGACCAGCGACAATGACTTTGGGTGTTTTAGAGTGCACTCCGCAAACTCTGTGCCTCGAGTAATAACCCTTTGCATTGGTTAGATCCATCCCACAACCTTCCACTTGGCACCTTGGTATCTGACCGGACTGGCCCGACCCGCCTCCACGGACACGTCTGTTTGAGCCACCAGAGGAAGAAGACCCGGATCCACCTCCTCCGTCCTCGAAGTAGATCTTCTGGCCGAACATGAGACCTCCGCTGAAAGAGGATGACTCAGTGGAGGAACCACCCGACTCTGCCTGACCCGGACCTAAACCCGGACCCGAGTTGGAACCCATCTCCATTCTCTTTTGGTTTCCTCTAACTCAGACAAAAAGGGTTTTACTCTTCATTCTCTCTCTCTCTCACACACACACAAACCTTAACTGTCTTGGTTCAAAGAAAGGACGAAAGGAGAAGAAAGCAAAGGAAACTTTGGCTTCCCTGATTTTGACTGTTTTGGGTTTACAGATATAAAAGAAAGAGAAAACACAACAGAAGGAAAGGAAAGAAAAAAAGGAAAAGAAGAGACGAGAGTAGCAATAGACAAAGACAGTGTGAAAGTAAGTAAAACGGTACGGACAAACAAAAACTGTTGTCTGTTAATTACCACATAGCTCACAACGAGAGAGAAAGAGATAGAGAGGGAGAGGGATATGATGTAGCAGTTTCTAAACTTGGGGAAACTGGAGCAAGTGAACATTGGAGAGGTCTTTCATATGCACATATTTCTTTCTTTCTTTCTTTCTTTCTTTCTTTCTTTTTTCTTTTTTTTTTACTTTATACTGTTCACATTTTCAACCTTTTCCTTATAGAGTTTTTTTTTCCTTGCAATTATTTGACAAAATAATTGCATTTTTTCTTATGTCAAGAGAATAAATAAATGCATGTTTTTCTTTTCTTTTGGTCCACCATTTGGCATTATGAGGTTGGCAATAAATGGAGATGATATTTTGTGTTGTCCAATAGCAAATATATATAATCTATTATATGAATTCTTTATTTGGTTTTGAACTGACTGCTAGCTAACAGTTTTCAAACCTAAAAAAAAAAACAAAAAAACTTAGGCTATGAATGTGTTAGTATAGTTAAGTTTATAAAATATGAACTGATCAAAACTATTTATTACGGATATTTGAGAGTACACATGACTTATTTGAAAAATGAAAATATGCATTGTAAACCTTTTATAAACACCATTTCTTTTAATTTTCTAAGAAACTCAATTTCTTTCATTTTTCTAAGAAACACAATTTCTTCTAGATATTCCAATAAAGTTCTATTGATCGTCGTTGTGAAGAGGGATCAAACACCAAATGTGTGGTTTCTGGCGTCAATATATGTAAAACTTGTTAAGATGCATATTAGGGATAATAAAAACAACTTGTATAGACGATGTACGAAACTCTACGAAGATCTCAAGATAAACACTAGCTAGAAGCCTCAGAAAATCATATTTTAAAAAAACATTTATAGAATATAACTAGAAAATCATAGTTTTTGTAACATGATATATACATTTGCATTATATGCAGCCTCATCCCTGAGGTCCCCCGATAAAACAAAAATTCTTCTTCGTATTCTTGGATTGAATGACTTATAATGACTAGTATAAATTTTCAAACCAACTTTTTTGTTTCGCAGCGCCACAACAAATTTTGTAATATCGGGTTTTTTTTTCTTTCAGTATAATGATAAGAAAATTAAACTCACAACAAACTTTGTTTATTTGTCCCGAAATATCAATTTCAACCACTAAGTATGAACATCATCATGGGACGGCAAAAATAAAATAAGTATGAACTTCATGCAATCGGCTAGCTAGCACTTCATCGAGGTATATAAGATAATGATCAAATGGAATCACTTAAAAAGGTATTGTCAATACATAGCATTTTGCCTTCGACATTTGCCAAAAAAAAAAAATAGGATATATATTTATGTAAAGACGAGTAGGTTTTTGGCCAATCATGTTTTAAAAACCGCTTAAGAAATTTTTTTATGTTGGTGTGTATCTCGCTCATAATTAGGTGAAGTCACATTCATTTGTAAGAAATTGCTTTTCTCATGGAACTAAAATATTTTAGTTTGCTTCATAACTTGTTTGTCTATATCTTGAATCTCGCTTGCGAATAATTTCTAGACATAATGTATGTGTAACCATGTTTAACCCGTTTGCATGGTTTGTTATTTTTCGTCGTAGACTCTTTTGTACCGGTATGGATAACCTCAATGAATCCGTGACTGTTGGGCATTTCTATTGCGTTTATTGAAAAAACAAAAAAAAAAAGAACCCTAAACTTTTATCGAGCTTGTCCAGGGATTTTAGGTATAAAATTTTGGATTTTATGTGTTTTGTAATAAGAATCCTAGTTTGGTGGTACTCTTTAATGTTGGGTATCCACAATTAACCGTGATGGTGATGGGTCATATGTGATGTAAGGTTTTTTTGGGTCATGTGTGTGATGTAGTAAGTTTAATTTAACTAGTATTATATTTTGAAAAGCATATGCGACGAGGGAGCAGTATTCATAGGAGATCCAACTTTACAAAATAATTGATATATCTTCTGATATGGCTTTGTACTTAGAAAAAAACAGTGACGTTTTAATTCTAAGATATTATCTTCGATAGAGATTCTATAATCAGCATTGGGAAGCAAAAGGAAACTGCCGAGGAGTTCGGAGTTCTATAAATAGATGGATTCTACACTGTAGTTAGTTAAAGAGTAACGAACATGCATGAAAAGAAAAAAAGAATACTACTACTTTAATTAGCTAGTGAATTTTTAAAAATTATAATGATCGAAAATATGTTACTAAAATATTAAAAGACTGGAACGTGAGCAGTACAGTTATTGGAACACAACAAAAGATGTGACACTTCAAGGGAAGTAGTTGGTGTCGGCAGATGTGCAAGCAACCCTATAAATAAATTCAGTACTCTATCATTTACGTATTTGTTAAAACCTCTTTAGCGAATTATATAACCAAATGTTTTAAATTATTTCAGTTTTGTATTGTTTGTTTTTCCGCAAATTAAAGCCAAAACTTTTGAGTTTTATTTTGGATTTTTTTTTTTTTGTTCTTACTTACAATATCTAAAGCAAGATCTTTCTTGATCTTCGTTAGAAAAAAAAAGAAAAGTATGGGAAGTTAAATCGTAGTCATAGACATCATCCATCAGAGTCTGTGTAAACTGTAAATCTACTACTAGTCTATATTATTATTATATAGGTTTAGGTTTGATTTGTTCTTTTTGTTTAGCTTTATTTAGTGAAAGTGGTTTCCACTTGTTTGGCTGCATCGGTTAAACCCTGAAACTAAAGACCTGATCTCCTAAGCCTGACTCTTTTTCACAAATACGTCACAGCAAACGTCTAGGCTCTGCATATAGTGAGACATTTTGAGTAAAATAGAAAGGTTTATGCTCTCTCAGTACAGTCAAACACTTGCAAAGTTTATTGTTATTATTTTATTAGTTACGTGAAAAGTTGTGGCAAACATGGGTTGGAGGACTTGATCTGTGTTTTAAGTTTCTTTATTAGATTTTGACATTTTTCACTTGAAAATATTCCAAGTTTTCATACCAAAAGTAAAATCTAATGATCATACTAGACCAGTCTTTAGAGTTTCAACATTCTGAAGTAGACCAATCTTTAAATTCTAGTTACTAGCTCTTTTTCACTTCTTAGCTCTCTTCCCTTCACGGCTTAGCTTCTATATTTTGCCTAACATACACAATTTGCAATTATAGCATCTCCACGACCATTTGATATTTGGAGGATATTAGATTAGAGAGGATCTCACATCTCTCTCAAGAGTGTCAATCACATTCTCCCCCAATCATTATTCCAAATATCCCATATGTTGCAAGACCATCTCTAGACCCTCAAATGACAGAAGCCATACATATGAAGGCACAAGAAAGAAAAAAGAATGCAAACTGATGTTATTGATCATTCATAGTTCAACAAAGGAGGTCCTAAAGTTATCAACTTGGAAAAACTTGTAAGGAGAAGGCAAAAAGAAGAAGATGAAGGTTTCTTGAAGTCAAATTTGTCATCCTGTTTCTTGAAGTTTCTTTATCAGGAGGTTTCTCAAAATCCGTTACATTCCACGACAGCTTCAGCAGCTCGTCTCGGCTTGCTCTTCCTCCGGCTTCCATTTTGTCTGAAGCCGATAGATGTCGATTTCGCGGAATCATCGGTGCTTGATTTCGATCCTAACCCATTATCTTCCTCATTTAGATCCGCACTGCTTCCAATAGACACCTTCCTCCTTTTCTCCTTCTTCAAGTCTTTACTTGTCACTGAACCATCATCAATATCTTCTTCTTCTTCTTCATCTTCTATCTTCTCTACCATCTCTTCTGCTTCCTCTTTGAAATCGTCTTTCATCGGCTTCTGCGGTCTTCCTCTTCTCCTGTAAGCTGGAATCTTTTCTTCCTCACCGCTTCCACAATCTTCCCTTGCAGATACATTCTGCTTCCTCCCTTTCCCTCTACCTCTTCTCATAGTCTATGAAACCCACAAGCTACTACAAAATCTAGAAACCTGCAAATCAAAAAGATCATCTCTTTTACATTTTGAAAGCAGCTCATGAGAACATGAAAACAAAGAAGTCACAATCCATATTAAAAAAAAAGAATCAATCAGGTAACATTACTCCCTTTCACATTGCAGATCAAACTAGTTAACAATGAAAAGCAGAACAAACACTTGAAAAACATGAACACAAGATTCCTATTTTCTCGTTGTTACGTCTCTTACCAAACTGTTCCAAACCTAACCCAACATCACACTGAAGAACAAAAGCCTACGAAAAATTTAGATTAACATCCATGAAATTACATTGCATGATCGAGCAATAAAAAAGAGACGAGAAGCCTAGTTTTTTTTAAGTTGTTTCAATCTCACTAAGCTTCTTCAGAACAACTAAACAAAACAGGTAGAAAAGAATTTTAACACTAATGCAAAACTGGTTAAAATACTCACCTAGGTGTAGCTCATCCAATCATTCAGATTCTCCGACAGATAAACCAATTACTCAAGAACCATACAATGAAAAAAGCTTCTTCCTTTCTTGGATCCTAAGAAAAAAAGAACTCTTTTTTGATCTGGGGTTCTCAATCGATCTACTTAACACAGTATATCTCTACCAAACAAACACTCAGTAGGGGAAACAGAGGAAACACAGAGATGAGAGAAGAAACACCACGGAGTCTGAGACTCTTAATAATAAAAAGTGATCACAGAGAGATCTGAGAAAGAGGGTAAGGACAAAAGAGAGAGTTCGCTGAGTAGCACACACTTACCACAACCATGATCCTATAAACCAAGTCCATTGGCCGATGGATCTTCTTTAGCCCCGTTGAAGATGGGATACGGATTTTCTCATTCTAACTAATTACACGCGCTCTAATCGGCACGTGATCGTACTCACTCCCACACGACCTCGTCTCTGTGTGGATAAGAAAGAACGAACGATGACAACTCAACAGCGTTCAGGGGCTTTTCTTCTCGCTTTCTTATATGGGCCGAACCCCAAAGCCCATAAGGCTTATTACGATTAACTATGTTCGTTCATTCGACCAAACAAGAAAGAATGAACTCATTTTACAGGTACACATGAAGGAAATGTTGCATATCCTGACGTAGTAACGCGTTAATTAAGCACATCATTTGGTGATGGATACATCACACATGTCCAAATGATTGAAGTTTAAAATAAGCGGTGATGTAACTAAAATGATTCTAGACTAGAACTATTTACTTGGAGTAAACAGTTAACCATTCTTCAACGCATTGAAATCTATCGAACTGCTTCTATCTTTAACTCTTTTTAGCCAATAAAATTTTCATTTTATTCACGTTATGTAGGATATGCCAAAAGCTACACGTTAAACAACAACTTGTGATTTTATATTTTGATTTTTTCAGGCCGTTACCTTAAGATGATCCTAAGCTACATTGTTCTTAGACGTAACTGCGCATTTTATATATAATTATATATAGGGTTTGTGCTCACTGCTCCTTAATGGGATGTAAACTTTATGTTATGTTATGTGATAGCTGTCTTGGTTTTTACTTTTGATTCGTTACTATGCTCATTATCTGTATAATTTATTTTTTCTTTTATATAATGACTTGTATCAATTCTTTCCTGTTGTATCGTACTATGATGGAAAGATCAAATGTCTCTACACATTTCATCAAACAAAACACAAACATTGATCAAAAAGTTAAAAGTTAAAAGTGAGTATTATCATATGGTCGTTTCGCTCTATTACCTCATGTCAAGAAATCACATATTTTTCAGCATTACAAACTTTTTATTGAAATTGATCTACCAAATTGGCAGTATATATGCAAATTGTTTGAAAAGATAAATTAAGACCAAACATAACTGAGATGAGTAATTAGGGGAGGGGGGGGGGGGGCAGTTGCAAGCTGTTTAAGATTTGAGTCACGATTGTGTCATCTCTAGATTCTCCTCACACTCTATTAAAAACCTTTCACACTATTTCTTATAAAATCACTCACGCAACAAGTTAATGGAATTGTTCATTAGCTTTTAAGACAAACTATAACTCATACAAGTAAATAAGATGAACTTGTAAGGCTATAAACGTCAACAACTCTCTTATATATAGTTGGTGGAGATTGTCGATTATGCGCACAGAAGAAAAGTGTGATGAGATAGATACTCTCTATAGTTGTCGTTGAGTCATGCAGCTCAAGAGGTCATCATCTTCGTCTTCACCCTCCACGAAACTCAAAGCCCTATTCCTAAACCTTATCACACACTCTCTTTACCGTTTATTACGGGCTCTCTCCAGAGCCAAATCCATTCTTATTGAGATATCTAAACACAACAAGAAGAAGTTGTTCATGATGATGTTTTACTCAACAAAGTCATCCATAAATCAACACAACATCTTCTTCGGGTCCTCCAGTGTCGTCTCCAAACCTAAATCTTTCCCTTTATCTATTCAGGGTCATGAAGATGAGGACAATCATGAGTCTCGGTACCTCGAGTGGCTAGAAGAGAGGGTTGATGAGAACATTAGCATTAATGATGATCATAGTGTTGGGGAGAGAGATGTTGTTGTTGATTATGATAATGATATTGATCATTTGGCAGACATGTTCATCGCGAGGTGTCATGAGAAGTTCTTGCTGGAGAAGGTTGAATCTTATAGGAGGTTCCAAGAAATGTTGGCGAGGAGTTTGTGAGAGTTGAAAAATCAAAGAGGTTGATTATTTTGTATTCTTGTTTGAAGGATTTGTCTTAATTAGTTAATAAGATGGGGCGAAATGTTTAAATTAACTTATTTTGGAGGGCTTAAATGCAAGAAAATATATAACATATACAGTATTTGGACTGCCTAAAAATGGAAATTTATCACAACGTTATAAATAATTAAGGAAATTTATGCTAATCCAAGATAAATCGACTCTGCAGAGTAAAGACTCTTTTTTTTTTTTCTTTTTTTTTTTTTGGGACAAACAGAGTGAAGACTATTAAAAGTTAATCTTAATGGATGTGATTCGTAGAGTAAACAAAACAAAAATTGATGGACGATTAAGCCGAATTAATATTGGGCCGATGACGCCGCCAAAGGCCCATTAAGAAGAGCATAACCCAAAATTAGAAGAAGAAGAAGAAGAAGACGAAGAAGCATCGTCTCTTTTCTTCTCTGAGAGTAGCTTTCGTTGTGGTTGTGGAGCTCTTTCCCGCTTCTGGCGATGTTCATCCTCAGAGTTCATTCGGTTGACTTGGAGCGACCAATCTCCATTGAAGATGAAGATACAGGTTTCACCTACGCATCGAAGAGAGCTCAGCCTCCTCTTAAACTCATACAACCATCCCTCAAAATCACCGAACGCAAAGGTCTGATCCATCTCTACCGCAACTCTTCACACAGCTCGCTCCCTAACCCTAGCTCCCGTTCCACCACTCTCTTCATCGTCGCTGTTCCCAATTACCTCTCCTCCCTTGATTTCATCCGCTTCTGTGATTCCCGCATCGCTAGTGTCTCCGAGATCCTCTTCATCAGGTTCGTCGAAAGTTCCATTTCTTGTTTTTAGGTTGATCACTTGAAGTAATTAATTCGGTCGTGCTTTCTTGATTTGATTTTAAATGACCAGAATGAATATGGTGATGATTGTTGCTGGTAGTGTCTGATTTTGTGCTTCTTAAAAATTATTAGGAACGATGGAATGGAAGATCGATATAGTGTTCTTGTCACACTTAGTGATCAATCCGCTGCAGATGGATTCCACAATAACCTAAATGGGCAAAAATTTGCACCATCTGAGGTATATAATATGGAAATGATCTTATAATCGTTTATTCTTTTTGGTTCATTGTATTTACAGTGACGTTTCTTGGGGTTTTAGGCTGAGGTTTGCCATATTCTCTATGTAATGTCGGTGGAACACACTGAATTTGATGAGGTTGCTGCAGAAGCTCCTGCTGGATTTACAGAGTTACCTACTTGCCCAATATGTCTTGGTGAGTTGTGCTAAAGAAGACGATTGCTATGTTTTTTTCACTTTACTTTTTCTTATATCAATATTTGGAATTTGACTCGTGCAGAGAGATTAGATCCTGACACCAGTGGTATAGTCAGCACTCTTTGTGATCACTCGTTTCAGTGTTCTTGCACTTCCAAATGGACTTATCTATCCTGTCAGGTGAGTGGTTCTCCTTCATGACCTTTCATTTCATTTTCAGTTTATATGGTGGGTTGGTGTTGCATTGGCGATGTTCATTTATTTATAGTGTTTGCTTAGCTATACTCTGCAGATTTAGTGCTTTACATATTTATGGTGCAAAATGAATCTGTTTCCTCTAATTCTTTTACCTTGCACATGTTTTACCATATGCTCATTTCGTTTGTAGGTTTGTCGATTGTGTCAACAACCAGATGAGATATTAAGCTGTTCTATTTGTGGGAAAACAGAGAACGTATGGGCATGCCTTGTCTGTGGCTTCTTAGGTTGTGGAAGGTAATGCTTGGTTTGCTTTTCCATTGTAATAAGATTGTAGATTACCTGATATTATAGCCACATCTGTATTTTCCTCAAGAGTTGATAGTTTCATTCACAGTGGATTATGATTTCGTTTTGTAGATACAAGGAAGGGCATTCTATCAGGCACTGGAAAGAAACGCATCACTGCTATTCTCTTGATTTGCGAACACAACAAATCTGGGATTATGTTGGTGACAGCTATGTTCATCGGTTAAACCATTCAAGAATTGATGGAAAGTCAGTAGAGATGAACACCCGTTGTCTGTCACACAAAGGGGACTGTGGTCTCTGTGAGTGTAGTGAGGATACAGGAATTAGCGGAGCCATCTTCAACAGCAAAGTTGATTCAGTACAATATCTAATCACCCTTAGTCATTTTTTTTTTCTGCATAATGCATATGAATCTTAGGTCATCAGTTTATCTCAGTGGTTTTATGATTGTATTATTTGACTCAAATTTTGTTGAACAGATTGTTAGCGAATATAATGACCTTCTTGCAAGTCAACTGAAGGGACAGCGACAGGCAAGTGGTTCTTCTGATGTTTGTTTCATTCTCTTCTTATTTATATATGAACAAACTCAACAGAGGATGAAGTTGTAGCCACGCAATGGTAAATTAATTACAAATGTGATGTTTTTCAGTACTATGAATCTCTCATTGTTGAGGCGAGAAGTAAGAAGGAAAGTAGTATCGCTGAAGCAGTTGAGCAGATTGTTGTGAACAAAATGCAGGAGCTTCAGAATGAGATTGAAAAATGTGAAGAGGAAAAAAGTTGTATCACTGAGGTAATAGTCTCTCTGCCTTGTGTTCTTTTTCCATCATTAATCCATTCTTGAAAGGTTTCCTTTGAACTGATTACGCTGCAAACTATAATATTTGGGTTTCAGGTTAACAGAAAACTTATAAAAGAGCAGGACACTTGGCGGAAGAAGGCCAAGGAGATAGAAGAGAGGGAAGCTGCATTGCTAGGATCAAAAGACGAGATGATAGTTGATCTTGAAGAACAGGTAAGCTTCTAACCTGATTCAGGTTTTGCTATTAACATTTAACGGTCAGTAGTATGACCTGATAAGAATGAATTTGTACAGATAAGAGATATTACGATTTTCATTGAAGCCAAAAAAACCCTAAAGAAGATGTCATTAGATTCGGATGGTATACGTGAAGGAACCGTCTTACCAGTGCCTATCAAGGATGAGCCGGTTTCTTCGGTTAGAAGGCAGAAGAAGTCAAACCGGAGAAAGTGAATAGCAGCTTTTTGATTCTTTTTAGTTTTAGGATTTACAGTACTTGGGTTTCAGTTTCTCCGGTTTAAACTAAACAGCTCTCAGGTCTAAAGACTTACCAAACTGAAGTATATCCGATTAAGAGAAACCAAAAGGCAAAGTTTTGAGTACTAATATCTTTGATAAGATCTGAAACAAAACGCCTCTATCTCGTACACTGTATATATTGTAACTGGATCCACTATGGTTTATGTGATTGGAAAGTTAAACTGATATCAGTTATCTGTCATTCTGTGTACAACATTTCCCTATGTTTCATTATGCAGCTTGTTTTTACTGCAATCTGCAGCTTTAAAACAAACTCAATGCCACATAATATACAATGTTGAGAAAAATCGAACAAATATATCACTTGACAGAAAAAGCTCTCCAATCCAATGATTCCAATCTCATTTACCTTTATACACAAGAAGATGAATAAACTAGAGAATATTGACAAATATATTCATTGCCTAAAGAAGAGATATGATCTCATTGCCGAGGTACAATCAGTCCTTAATAAATTTTGCCGACTAATAAGAGAGAGAGAGAGAGAGAGAGAGAGAGAGAGAGAGAGAGAGAGAGAGAGTTGAGTAGACGACGACGACGACGACGACGAGGAGAG